TTCGATTAAGGAAGTATTCTCATTGATCAAAGTAAATAAAAGAAATTTTGTCTACTGTCATATTAATTTTCTTTGATTGCTTTTCTTGATAGAATTATCTAAAGATCGAAAAAAAGAAAAAGAAATGGTAGAAATGATGTTTGAGTGTGCATGCGCCGTACGAAAAATAACATCATGGCGGCTATGTAAGAGACCGACTCTAAGGCTTCCCTTTTGTATAAATAACTCCCCCACCCTATCTATGTATAAGGGGAATATAAGTAGAAGTATTAGGACTCCATCTATATCTGAGTTTCCTACAGGAACAAAGAAACTCAGTTCCGTTCGAACCTCTCTTGGCGAATAACTATCGATTTTTTCCTAGAAAATGTAGGCTTGGAAAAGTCTCACAAAGTGGAATTTCACGGGTACAAGTCAGACGAAAAACGGTCAACATTTTTCTGAAAATCGTTTCACTTTACAACATATCTTTTGCAAGTGCATTTAAGATAAATTTACTTAAACGGGACAATGGGATAAGAATTTGTGATCAATATGACAGCACAGTTGTTGCCATGTGGAAAGAAGAGGGGCATCAGATTGGGAAATCTGAAGAAAATCCACAAAGGTGGAAAATATGTGGAAAAATTAACAAGGAAAGTGATTATGAACTGGAACATATATCATGGATCGATTATGCAGATAAGTTCTGAACTGGTTGAAACTATTAAAGATATCTAAATGGATAAATTACTATAGTTCCTCGAAAGAAAATCAACAGCATTACTTTGGTCCATATGGTTACAAAGTCAATGTAAGTGATGTATAAAAAACTTAAATTGTGATAAGATTAATGTGATAAGCTGTATGAAAATCTTAATTGCATATATAATATTTTGGAAATACGTCTCGGATCCAACACTCAAAACAATCAAAGCCTAATTACTTTAATATAGAAATTTTAAGTAAACAGTACATTATATTGTGGCAATAAAACTGTTGAAATTGCAACGTATTTAAAACTCAGTGCATTTTCATTGAAGGATTTATGTCGACGATGGAGGAATGAGAATCAGATAGAAAATGAAACCTTCTCGTTTATCTGAAAGAGGGATGATGAGAATAGTATTGGCCGTTTGAAAAATGAAGATGAAAAAATGGGAATATTGATTTTATCGGCCTTTCATGTTCTATTAAAACTCTAAATGCGTTTTTTTCAAAACTTATGTTTATGAATTGGCATCCTTGATAACTTAAAAAATGATTGACTGATTAATTTCTATTAGGAACTCATTTCATTTGCAATTAACTTCTTCCTCATTTGACCTACTAAAACAAAAATCAACAAATACTTCCTATTTTCTGAAAAAATAAGAGAAAAATAAAACAATTTTGAACATTTGAATAAAATAAATGCAAGGAACATTGTCAATTAATATAAATTTGGCAACATGACCTTCAAATAGACGTCATTTCTACCATTTCAAAATTTGGACAAATGCCCTATTATTATATGTAATATTTACTTACTTTAAAGGTCAATAAATATGATAGCCCAATTCAAATTTTGTATCTTCTTTATTTTTCGAGAAAAAAAATTCTCCCAAAAAATTAGATTGCCCGATCAATGAAAATAACTCCCTTAAAGATTATTGAAATTAAAAATAATATGATCTAAAACAAACTTACAGGCAACAAAATTAATTTTAGGAGTGGCTGTCACAGTGGGCTTCTTAGTTCCTGTCGTTTTAGCTGCTGCAGTAGGTTTTGGATTCAAAACGGTAGGATCGGCACTTGGTATTGGTTTCCCAAGCTTTGTATGCAACTTCACTACCTTCTGATGTTTGGCACCTCTGATATGAGCAGCATATGCATCATTACCCGTACAAGTGACATCACATAGTTCACAACGTAAACTATTTCCTGCACCACGTGGTGGGGGCTGTTGTGGAACTTTTAAGGAAGCTTCCTTCTTCTTGTGCTTTTGTCCTTCCAAGTGTTCACGATAAGTTTGAGGTCCAGCACAGCTGATCTTACAGACATCACAATAGTGAAGTTGTTGAGGTTTGGGAGGCTGCTTTGGCCGCATTGCCTTCATTCCTCCCCCTCCAGTTCTGAACCCCTTTTGTCCGTAGCCCTGCCAACCTCCAGTCTTCTGGTTAGTCGAATTGCTGTTTGCACTCTGTTGGGCTACATACATAGTCGCAGCGCTGTAAAGCGCTGCGTCGTAGCCGGAATACGTTGTACTTGCCGTTTCTAGAGGAAATGAAATTGAAGCCTCAAACTATAGAGGAGTCAACCTTCACATTGACAATAGGTATCATCTCTTTTTTTTCCTGATACAATTTCAAACTATCGAACCATTTCATAAAATATTTACACATGCCTGCATTTTTAATGCATAGAAATAAAAATACTGACTGTTGTCAAATTCTCAAGCATTTGTAATTCTATTTCTATGCTATCATATTAATTTAAAGAGGATCAATTTCATATTATTAATACCTATTTCACAGTTAGTAAACAGTCATCAGAGAACTTGAAAATTTGGTAATAGAATTATTGCAGGAGTAGAAAAAAAAGATAGATGGGAAAAGATAGACAAAAAAAGAAAACTTACTATTTGTTGCTGTGGATGGTGTAGCTGCTGGAGTAGCAGGAGCAGTGTATCCTGAAGAGTATGTAGCACTTTGTGTGGGATTAGATTGTTGATAAGCTGTACTCGATGCTTGATAAGTTTTAGCTTGTCCTGTTGTAGTAGCTTGTCTCGCAGTGCCTGTATAGGCACTTGTTGTACTATAAGCAGGCTTAGCAGCTTGATAGTGTGTTTCAGTAGTTGTATAAGTAGCAGCTGCAGCAGCAGGTTGCTGATAATAAGTTTTAGTGGCGTCGTAAGCAGCTGTAGGGGCAGCTCTACCGTAACCGTAATCGTATGTTTGAGCAACAGTTCCAGGATTTGCAGCTAAATAAAACAAGTATAACAAAAATTAGAAATAGAAATTAGTATTAATAGAAAATAACCGGCTTGGGTTGTTTCATAAAGATAAAGGAACTAATCAAGTGGTCACCGATAATTGATAACACATTGACCGCTAGGCAAATTTGGTATGTTTTGCCATTGGGGTCACAATTTATAAATAAGATATTAGATATAAAATAACGTGGTTACGTATAACCATTGTGCGAGAACCAACATAAAAAGAAGACATTGCTAAACTAGGTAGTTAGGTAATCATATAAAGTAACATTTGTGAACTGACCTGCGTATGTAGTTCCTGAAGCTGCTGCAGCTGCAGCTGCTTGATAAGTCTCGTAGCCTGTAGCTGCTGCTGCAGTCGGGCGTTGAGTATATGTAGCGGCGGTTGCCGCTGGTGTTACTGCGTACCCCGCTTGGCCGGTTTGATAAGCAGCAGCGCTAGTTGCCCTGTTTACAATAAAATAAATGAAATAAGTATCATAACCACATCAAAATGATAAATTCGCGAAGATAGAATAACGAGGTAAACGAGAAAAGACCTCGATCGTAATCGTTCCCGGGAAAGACGCTCGATGGACGCTCTTAGTCGTTAGCTAAGAAATGGCGGCCAAAGCCGGCTGTGCTATCGCGTGCACCGAAATTAATAAACATTTATTATTCCCGCCAATATCGTTACCCCCGTTAATTTTTGTCTAAACTTAACGCTAGCTACTTAATAATTATGTTAGGCAATCGAATTCGTACCCATATTGCGTTCCGCCGTGCGTAAACCCAAAATAATTGTTCTGAGCCATCCTTCCACGCAGAGTATCCCGGAAAGAAGGACAATGGAGGAAGTTGTAGGGCGTGCCACGAACTCGATAGAATGGCGGCGCTGCCGCGGCTCCTATTGGTTATTCCGTTGGAGCCGGGCAATACGACAGTGAGAACGACGCGCCCTCAGTGGCCGTTCTCCCGTTAACCCTGCGCCTTCCTTCGATGTACTAACTCCGCGCAAATCAACGTGCTAACATACTAACCGAACGACTAACGCGATAAAGTATTCCCGAAGCGGCCAGGTATATGCGGTTTAATCGAAAAATAACTTACTCATTGTCTCTCGAATGCTCCGCTCGCTAATCTCGCATGTAGTTTGACAAATTATCGCGTCTGGTTCTTGTTGCGGCGAGTGTCCGGCGTACGTACGAAGAAACTATTTGATGCCGGTGACGCGTGCGTTCAATGATTTTGTTACACGCCCTCTATCTCCTCATCTAATTTATTTCTTCTCTCTTCGAACGAAACTCTGGAGCGCTATCTACCTCTTAACATTACAATCCCTGGAATCTATTCAATTATATTTATATACCTACTTTCCTTCCTTTCTTTCTTCTAATATGTATAACCAATCGATCAGTTCTATATGTTAATGCCATTATTTACAAAAATAGATTCTATTTATGAAACTCGAACATGTTTTACATAACCTGTAATTCATGAAACGTTGACTTTATTGTTTTCTTTTTTCAATAACACGCATTAAGTTAAACGAAACGTCTAATCATTAGGTTGCAGCACGTGAGAAATTTTTTTTCCGAATCCTTCATTTTCATTTGTTCATAAAAATGTTGTATAAAAATTAAATGCTTTAAATGAAATTTTTATTTACTTTACATCAATTTATATGTATATGTATATATACTTATACTTTTTAAGAAACAATTATTACAAATAAATTTACCAAAAAATCTCGACATAAGTCATACTTTGTTATAATTATTTCGTTACTTTGTTCAATTCCAATATTTAATATCAAGAATTATTAATATTTCAAAATTAAATATACAATTCGAAGTAAATCCAAATGAGAGTCTAAATTTTTGATGACCAATGAAAAAAGCGAATACAAGATAAAGCTAAGTCAATTAAAATATTCTCCAATAGAATGAATTTTATTATGCTACAAGAGAAAGGACCAATCGTAATAGTTCATATGAAGATATTTAAAATTTGAATACATTATGGCTGTGTCTTCATGTTAGACTTAAAAAGCACCCAAATGTTAGCATGCTGTCATAGTAGTAGAACGATGTATGGTGATGTGTTCCATCGAGTAATTGACGGTCTTTAATTATAAACCAAGTATTTTTACTAGAATTTATTTCTTTACTATTAAAAGATGTGGTTGCATATAAAGATGTCGGAAATATATAGATCGAAAAAATTTAAGGATTGCTGACAAGCAAAATATGAAGATAAAAAACTAAATGTTGTTTAATAATATTATGTATATACGTCCGCACAACGAGTTCAAAGGATACATTTTTTGATATACCAAATTTAATTGAGAGAGATAGAAAGGGAGAGTGAAAGAGAGAAAAAAGAGATATGATTTTTGTTTGATACATAAGAAATATAATTAAAAAAAAATCATGTTACCCGAATTAGCAAAGAAGAAGCATGCTAAATATTTCCAAAGATTATTACAAATTATGCCGAGTAGATTGGCAGAATTAGATTCCAGTAGATCGGTGATAGCGTTTTTTGCTATATCTGGATTAGACGTATTAAATTCTTTGGATGATATCGGAGATGATATGAAAGCAGATGTCATTGACTGGATTTATAGACTTCAAATTTCGGGAGCGGGACCACGCTCTGGCTTTCAAGCATCTACAACAATACCAAAAGAGGCCTCTAAGTATCAATGCGGTCATTTAGCAACAACTTATACAGGATTAGTTACTCTTGTAATTCTTGGAGATAAATTAGATAGAGTGGATAAAAAATCTGTTATCGAAGGAGTACGTGCCTGTCAAAACCCTGATGGATCCTTTAAAGCTATTGTAATGGGTTATGAAAGCGATATGAGATTTCTTTATTGTGCTTGTTGCGTTTCTGCAATTTTGGATGATTGGTCAGGTGTAAATAAATCAAGTGCCATCGATTATATTTTAAGGAGCATTGTAAGTTGATATTTATTTATTTGTTTAATTGTAAGTTTGATCAATTGTATTATGTTTTGATTTAATAATGATTATAGTCATACGATGGTGCAATTGGCCAAGGCCCTGGACTTGAGTCTCATGGAGGATCGACCTTTTGCGCAATAGCAAGTTTATTTCTTATGAATGAACTCCATAATGTATTGACTGTGGAACATTTAAATAGATTAAGGCGCTGGTGCCTAATGAGACAAGATGGTGGTTTTCATGGTAGACCTGGAAAACCATCCGACACTTGTTATAGTTTCTGGATTGGTGCAACATTACAACTTCTTGATGTTGGATCATTGTCAGATCCTGATGAAAATAAAGCATTCCTATTAAAAACGCAAGATACATTAGTAGGTGGATTTGCAAAGTTTGATAATTGTACTTCAGATCCTTTACATACATATCTAGGTACGTTATCTATTCGTTACTAGAAAATTAAAAAATAATACAGATATATAACACAATATCGATACTTATATAAGCTTATTTATATAATTGTTTTTCTTCGTAGGATTATGTGGTTTGAGCCTATTGGGAGAGCCTGGTCTTAGTTCAATAAATGCAGCTCTTAATATTTCTGAACGAGCTTATAGACATTTACAAAAAATTCATGAAACATGGCGACTACAGTGATGATAATATAAACGAAAGAACTGTTCGTAATCATATCAAGCGCACAGATAAAAGTATATCGAATGGTATATTTAAATTTGAATATTGAAATATATAGTGTCCGCTGTGTTATGTACGCTGAAGAAACATTATTCTAAAAATAGTCAATTACTGTCTATACTAATCAGAAACATTATACTTTATTAATATTTAATTTGAAACAATGAAAAAAAAAGAAAGAAACATTCTCAAATACTATATTAACGAATACAAAAGATGATTTAGAAAATATATAACAAAAAATGAATTTTATTTAAGTACACTATAGATTATGTAAGAATTAGATTATTTTGTTCTTTGTATAATCATTAAATTCTAAATTTTATAATAATAGTAGTTCAATGACTCCAACGACATTTTAAACGAAAAAATTTGGTTTTTTACGAGGAATAATCGCGGATCATTAATTTTCGATTAATCGAATTTATCAATATTCACTCAAAAGAACCAATCATGAATAAGAATAGCTTATTAGATAATTTTCGATATATATGACGTCAGCGGTAAAAATGGTTAACTCTGCCATCTACTGTGGCGCGATAGGAAGTAGGTATGGGAAATCCGAAGATAGCCGAGAATGACCGAAACGAAATATTCGTTCGTTCCACTATCCCCTACCATTTCGCACGGCGACAGTTCCCCATGGTAACGAGGGTAGGTTCGCGAAGCACAACAGACGACGTTCGTTCGCGCGAGTGGTGTGACCCGCTCGTGTGTTAGGACGATTGAGAATACACGCGTTTTCTCTACTATTTCACGAAAGTTAGTGGCCTCGGTTCTTTATTTGTGGCACGTTCGCGATCTTTAATCGTGGGATATTTGATACGATCTACGAGATATACAATAAAACGGAAGTTGAATATATAATAGAAGAACGATAAATAGAAGATACAGAGAAACAAAAAGAAAGAAAATTAAAAAGAGAAAGAAACGTTATTAAAGCGACTTTTTTTTTTCTTCCGACGACGACGGAGACGTTGTTGCGTCTCTACAGAAGAATTTTTTAACCGTCGTCGGTGTTGGGTCGCGACTGCGGTCCAAAACATCATCAGAGGTTAGTGCGCGCGATAGATTTAAATTGACTCGCCTACCCAATCGTTCCTTAATCCTTCCTACTCCGACTTTAATTGATCGAAGATATAGTCTTGAACGATCGAAGTATTAAAACGAAGTTAGATCGATTCTTCTCGTTCAACGAACTCTACGCCTATTTAAATAGCGAACATTCACTTTATTTATTTTTTATATTATTATTATTATTATTATTTCGTTGATTCACCCGTTGACTCATCATCCCGTACGTTGTTCATCGGTTATTGTTCGGTCCGAGTCACACTCTCCGTTTCCCTTTTTTTATTCATTCATTGTTACAAAGATCCACTTTCCCAGTTAGTTATAAACTACACAGTATTATTCGACGAATAAACTTGTTTTAGAATATTGTGATCGCGAATACACGCACACATACACACGAGTTCAACTTCGAAGCTACAACTTTTTACGAGAACAACTTTGGTATTCATAACGGTTCATTACTTATGTTCCTAAGCAGAAAGAGCTTTATCGTGATCGTAAAAATTGAAGTGGATAGTTGAGAATATTAATGATTATTTCAATGATTCAGCGTACTTAACAAATTCATCGTATTTTTAAATTACAAAATATTTCGTTTTAAGAACGAGCCATACAATAAGCTTCGTTGATTCCGCTAATTAACCTAAAACCACGCTTTTATCTTTTCTATTTTCCTAGAATATACTAAAGAACTATCTAACTAAAAACAATTAGCATTTAAATCCTCATTGGCCTATTTCTCTCCTAACAAATTACTGCTATTAAGAAAAAAAAAAAAGAAGAAAAAAAAAGAAAACTTTCCAGGCGACGATCGATTTAAAATCTCAATTATCAAATTAAATTAAAGAAATAAAAAATATATCACATTGATCGAAAAGATAAGAATAGCGTGCAGATAAAATGTAGAATACCATTTGTGAGTTTTTGCCTGTGTAACAAATAAATTACACAAGTTGCAAATAGATCGATTGCACGTGGAAAATAACGTGAGTTTGTCATATCGTAAGTCGTAATATTTTGTAAGAGAAAGAGGAGAAGGAGGAGGAGGAGAAGGAAATTCCATCTGTGGCATAGAAAAATAAAATAGCTTAGTTAGAAGCCGGAATGTCCCGGTTAATTATCTATTTAGTCAGTGTCACGCACGTATGGGAGCGATTTAACGGTTCGAGTGTGTTACACTGTACGATGAATAGTTTTTTAATTGCATTACTATCTCAAATTAAAACCCAAACGACCGACTTTAAATGTATCTCCCATATATAGTAACATCGACGAAATAAATCGAATAGAATTTTTTAATCGATTCTAGGAAACAAGAAAAAAACCATATAATTCTCGTTAGAATTTTGGAAACAATCAGTTTTCCCGCCAAAACGTGTATACGCGTATGTATACCGCGAAGTTTGTTCAAATGTAGAAATGTACATTTTGTTCGTGTTCGTGATTTTTATGAATTCATAATTTGAAAATTAAAGACTGCGACGCGAATCGAAATATTTTATTAGACGCACACATAGATCAATGAAGATAATCTTTATTCAAAAAGTAGGCTCGTTAATGTAAAGTATCGTTTAATTAAATGAGTAAACCGTGCAATGAATGAGACTTTTGTTGGCGTGTGTTCTGGCGTTACACGCGTATAATTACGATGATTAAAAAAAAAAAAAAAAGAAAAAAACGAATGAAACGAAGAAAGAGATCAAAAGAAAGAAAAAAGAGTTAGATAGATAGATAGATAGGTAGATAGATAGATAGATAGATAGATAGATAGCGAAGTAAAGGAAAGGAAGAAGAAAAAAGGAGCGTTCCAGTTTTTTCATCCGTTCTTACTCTCGCTCCGTTTTTGTTGCATCCGCTCGCATGCGCATTGCAAATTGACTACAGCTTCGTAACACATTGACCGCGCAAGCGGCCTTTTCTTTCTCTCTTTCTTTTCTTCTTTCTTACCCTTTTCTTCCTCTTTTATCTCTTTCTCTCTCTCTCTCTCTCTCTCTCTCTCTTACTCTCTCACTTTCTTTCTTTCCAACCAATTTTCTTCTTTTTGTATTTTGCACGTTGCACCCGAGCACACATCTCGCGTCTATTTATACAAAATTCCTGAAAAATTAACGATCGTTCGTTCGAAACGATCGATTTTTTGTTTAAACAGCGAAGTTATACAATCCCGTTTATTTTTCCCCTCTCCCTTCCTCTCTCTCTCTCTCTCTCTCTTTTTTTTTATCTCGATGAATAATCTAACGATTCAGAAATGCACGCGAAAAGAATAAAGGAAAAAGGTATATATAATAAAACGATGTGGGATTTTAAAATAACGCGCAACCTAATTTACACGATTAAATGTTCGATACGATTTACAATTACAGTTCGTTTGAAGTTGAACTTTCGAGCCCAAATTCATGAGTAGGTATAAACGAGTGCATACAAACGTACAGGTGTTGTTGTACTATGTAGGAGAGGTATACGATAAATATATCGGTTAAAGATTCGCCCTAATTAACGTGGTACCGTCACTTTTATTTTTTACCCCTCTCCCCTTCCTTCCTTTTATATATGTATATGTGTTTGCGCGCGCGCGTATGATATGTATGCGCATGCGCGTCAAATTTAATTCACGAATGCTTTTCAGGGATGACTTGGGTGTTGTTTCGTATTCGTATATACGCATACATAGAAATGTAACTATGTACAAACGTATGTATGTATGAAAGGGACGAAAATACATCTCCTCTCTTTCTTTTATACTCTTACTCTCTTTCTCTCTCTCTCTCTCTATTTCTTTTTCTAGGGGTTTCAAAGTTACAACATCGGTATGCGCGTTGAGCTCGTGAAAGTGAGATTGACACGTGTCTCTTTCTCTTTCTCTCTCAATCTTTTTCGAGAACGAGGTATGGACCCTCGTGTTCTTAAAACTGCCACCGCATATATGTGAATATACCTTTTTTTTTTTCCAAGGGGGAGAATGATGTCTCAAAAGTCGTATTTAAGGTATCAACGTGTGACCCTTTTATGAACGTTAATAATCTTGCGTTCGTTACGTTTCTGTGGAGTCCCTTTTCTATTTAAATTTATATATATTCTGTTTATCTATCTACACGTATATACTATATTATATTATTACTAATATAATATATTAGTTCGTCCAATAAATTTATACGATTTTTGTCGTTTATTTAATTAGTAAAAACCGTATGAATTTATATTGACCAAATGAATATATAGAACTAGCTACTAATATAGCATAACTCATATAACTTCATGCTATTAGAATTAGAATACACTACTATATACTATTATATGTATTTATCTAATGTATTCATTATTATTTATATATATATATATATATATATATATGGAAGTAAATACATAGACAATTACCAAATACATAGACAAAATTTAGGCTATACTTTGATAGGGCAGGTGATGGACATCCTCGAGAAAGATGCTCGCTTTAACGAGGAGGGGTTTGTGACGGTTGTACAGCTGTCGATTGGTAACAGCTGCATCTTGGGGAGAGTGGAAAGGAAATAATACCGAGGGCAGCAAAGAAAAAGCGTACTTGGGGAAGGGTTGCTTGCTTCTTTACTCTTTGAACTTATCCAATGAAATCCTCAAGATGTTTTCAGTTACTTCATGCAATTGATCGTATGTATATATATATATATATACTATGCGTATATATAATACATACACATCACTGGTTAAAATAAAAAAAATAAAAATAAAATCAACCTAGGTTACTACAAATATATTCACACACACACACTTTTTCGTAGAAATAATTTGTTTCTTTGAATTCGTAAATTTTGACCCGTAGTATACAAAAGAAACGTTGACACGAGGTAAAACACCAACTGCAATTGCATCGCGTTTCGTAAAGCACGTTCTTCTTTCATTGCACATATAAATATTTTATTATGGTTGTTATACAAATGTTTTCTCAACACGAGTAGCTAGATCCTATGTTTTAGTGTCTTCCCTACTGACAATATAAAATCTTTTTGTCTTTTTCTTTTTTCTTTTTTCTTTTTTGACTGGAATCCAAGAAAGTTCTTTGAGAAGTCGTTAAGTTCGAGATAATGTTCGAGAAAGTGTAAAAGTCTTTCTTCGTGGTAATATTTCTTCTTAGTTCTCGATTTATAACGATGTAGCTACTTACATACAAGACTTGCTTTATTTTCTTTGTTTTTATAGCCTTAGGGCTACAATTTTACGATAAGACTATAAATGGGTCGGTGTACATAAGCTAATATTATAGAAGATGCATCAATTTTCATCTTCTTCTTCTTCTTATTTTTCTTTTCTTTTCTTTTTTCTTTTCTTTTTCGAAGAATCGATAAAATTCGTTAAGCATAATACAAATTGTTCTATCATTTTTTGTGTGTGTTCAAGACTTCATAATTTCTTAGAGAAATTCGAAAAGAAAAAAAAGCTCTTATACTTTTACGCAAAAAATTCTTCTTACACGTGTTAGGGATTATCATCTCATTTTTTGTCAATAGCTTCTTCGAGAAGTTTAGAAACTCGAGAATGAAACAGTTCTCTCTCTCTCTCTTTCTTTTATAAGTTAGCTTTTGTATACACGTGTTAGAAATTATCTTCTTACTTTTTTTGTTGTTACAAGATTTGATAGCACGTACGTAAAAAAAAGTTTAGAAACTCGAGAAGAAAACAGTCCTCTTTTATAAGATAAATCTCGTACACGTGTTAGAAATTATCCTTTCATTTCTTTTTTATTTCTTCTTTCATCTTTTCTATTTTTACGAGATTCCCGATAACTTCCTCGAAAAGTTTCGAAAACTTCTCGAGGCCGAAACAATTCTTTATTATACGTAAAAACGAGAACATGTGTTTTAAATTATCATATCTAAATCATCTTGGATATATCATTTTATTTTATATTCTTTATATTCTCAATACTGTTTAATTTAATAATTGTTCCCGTAAAATAAATAATTTTCATTTTACATGTATTTTTTTTTGTTTTGTTCAAGATTAGATAATATATTTTTCTATCGAGGAAATGAAAAATGTCGAGGGAAAAAAAAACGTTTTCCTCGGTGTAGGTAAAAATGATTGTTTACACGTGCAAGTATAATGATTGTCTCGTTGTCAGGAAAGAAGAAAAGAAAAAAAAAAGAAAAAAAAGGCGAATGATAAGGGAAAAAAAAGGATAAAAGTTTTAATTTTAGAAATGACATGATTGTCATAACTGTCGTTTGCAAACTTCGTCCTTGTCTTCTTCCTTTCCTTCGCGCGTGGAATATTTCTTACGTCCACGCTTGGCTTCAAATCAAATAATTCGCTCATCGACCTTGCCATGGACTTTCTCTACGTTGCAACGCACACATCTCAATAATTTGATAAATGACGAGCACGTAAAACATTCCAACTAGTATATGCGCCAAAGCAACCTCAATGTATTTCCTATATTCTATACTCGGAACACATAAAATACCAACATATAATTACACATATATACGCCAAAACAAACATAAACGTGCACAGAAAGCTCATACACAAACATACGTATATGCATACACGATACTTTTAACATATACATATATTTATATTTTATTTACTACATCATGCAAATAGATATATATATATATATATATATTTATATAATATACATGTGTAGATAAAACAGTAATGTTTCTAATCGTATTATCGGTTTCCTACAAATACAGTATTATCGTTATTACGAAGTTAATTCATTGGAAAAAAAAGATCCCGTGTATAATGTATATATGGTATATGCAAATATATTCGATATATATCGCAAGTAAGAATAACGTAGGATGTTAAATAACACGGCGGGTTTATTGTAACATCTGACTCATTGTAATAACTCATGAACGATAGGAGGAAACTCTGAGCACAAGCCGTATGTGTCATTCTTATCGAAAAATACGTATGGATATCTTTTTTTTTTTTTTGTTAAACTCGTATTAATAGATAACGACCGAATGATATTTCCTTTTTCAAAAAAAACAAATAATATATTATACGATCATTACTATTCAAGGAAAAAAGAAAATATCGATTGGCATTGAGCAGATATTAGCCTAATTTCAAAACGGAGATCGCTGGCTAGATGAATCGTGGATTATGAAATACTAGAAAGAAAGAGAGAAGAAAGAGGAAAAAAAAGAGAGAAAAAAATATATATATATATAAAAAATTTAATCTCTCGTGTTGAATGGAAGGGTAGACTAAAAGTTGTAATCTTGGATTAGCGTGCTCTCGCTCGTGGATCATATGAAATGAAATGAAAAAAAAAAGGAAAGAAAAAAAGAAAGTAAATGAAAAAAAATCCTATAAGTATAAATGTCAGTTGGGGAGTTCCAGCAAAAAAAAAAAAAAAAAAGAAAAGAAAAAAACATAATCTTCCTTCGTTGGATGGGAATGTCATAAAAAGGAATAGAAAAGGAGAGTGAAAGAGAGAGAATGACAGAAAACGTACGATCGCTGTCATTTTGCGAAAGTGAATGAGAACGCCTTTGAATGGGTGACTGAGTATACAAGTGCTCGGATAAAACGGGAGCGGTAGTAAGAAATAGTAAACGATGTGCTTGCTGTTCAAGTTCCTTCGCGACCATCTGCGTCTTTGCTGATTCGTGAAAGAAAAAGATACAAGAAAAAAGAAAGAAAAATATATATATATATAGAGAGAAAGAAAGAGAGAGAGAGAGAGAGAGAGAGAGAGAGAGATAAGAGGAGAAAATGTGAGAACAAAAAGAGAGAAAGGAAGAAGAAAAGGTAGCCGATCGATCAAAGGCCACCATCCGTGTTCCTGATCGTCTAGTCCTTGTTATCGGTGCGAGACTATCTCTTGCGCATATAACTATCAAACTCGAAATGTTAAGAAGAGAAAGAAAGATATATATGTATATGTATATATAGAGAGATAGATAGAAAGATAGAAGGATAAAGATAGAATCGTGTTCACATTCCGTGAAAGCCGACTCATTAATTTACACGAGAAAAGCATCGATCGTGGAAGATTCCGAAACTTCATGGATTCCTCTCTTTTTTTTATAATATATTATATGAATTTATTTTTCTTTCTTTTTGTTTTCTTTTTTTTTTAATCGTATCATTGCAAGATATTAGAAAAACAAAAGTAATAGAAAGGAAAGTAAAGTAGGAAAAAAAATGAGAATAAGAAATGACACGAATTTGTTCAACAACAACCAAAATCACCAATTACAAAATATTAGAAAAATAGAAATGATAAAAGTAATCTCTCGTTGAACGATGAATCAGTTCTAATCTTATATTAGATCAGTGTACTACTCGCTCGTTCATTATACAAATAATATGTTTGCGTTGGTCATATCTGTGATATTATATGTTTTCCCTGATTCTTTTTGCTATTTTTTTTTGTTCTTTCTTTCTTTAAGATTAAAGATTCACGATTGTTATGTCAGTCTTTCTTGAAATGCCGAATGAGAGTCTCTGGTTCGCCTTGACGCTCCTTACAAATCGATCCAACTGCCAAAGGCTCCTCTCCGTGTACCTTATATTCTATACCTAGTCACATTCACCTCTGTCTCTACGAGAAGAGGAACGAATAGCAAAGATAAAGACGCCAACTACTACTCGTTCACCCCTGCTGGGGTGTATCAATGATATGAATTTTATCTAAGGGATAAAAAAGTGTGTCTCTTAAAGAAGAGAACATCGTTGTTCGCTTAAGAAATTGCAAATAGAAAAAGCAAACGTACAGGAAAGAAAGAGAGAAAGAGAGAAAGAGAGAGAGAGAGAGAGAGAGAGAGAGAGAGAGAGAGAGGATGAGAACAATAATAAAGTTGGCGTTGGAAAAATAGAAAGTATAATTGGATAAATTTTCTTGGTGATTCTATTAATTGAAATTAAATTACACGAAAAGTTAGACCCACCAACAATGATGACTAATAATACAAAAAATATTATTAATAATACGAAATATATAATGTCGTAACACACATATAATTAACAATTTTTATTTTAAAAGTAAATTTATCGAGCTATATCTTACCGCAAAATCATTTTCAGATTCTAACAACTTTGTTCTTGTTTTAATAAGATTAAAATATCCTACGACTCTTGTGTTATAGATCCTATATTCCAAACTTTCGATATAACTTTAGTGTTTACTCTTTAACAATTGTTTTGCTTGAAAATGTAAAGTATCTTAAATACATAAATGGAAAAAATTAAATCGAGAAATAATTTTTTTTTAATTTCTATATAAAAATCTAATATATATGTATGATATATTAAGAACTGAGGAGAGTAGGTAGTAGTTCTAAACCATCGTTCGAGGCTACGAGCCGATTAGTTGATTAGTCTGACCGTCGATTAAAACCAGCAAACGTAGAGATAAGCTTGTACGTATGTATGTGTAATCACGTATATATTTCTTTTTTGTAATGTAGAATATGTGTATATACGAGTAGAAATACATACGTACGGATACTATATATATATAAATATGTTTGTTCGTTATATGCGTTCCATCGTTTTATAAATTACCTCGCGGTTTTTCAGAGCATTGACTTTACTCATTACATGCTTCATAATTGCTTAGAAAAGCTCTATGTCTTTTAGGTGGCGTGGGGCACGGCTGTAATGGAATTACAGAGCTGGTTACTCTACCATCTCGTAGCTGTAACCGACTGCAATCAAGGTATACAGCTACTTCCGTCATACATTAGATGAGATCTATTTAACGCGCACACTCTCTCCATACTGCGTCTCAAATTTGAACGTTAACTTCGTCTATTCATTATTTGCTTCTATTTGCTATTTTATTTTGCACATGTTTGTGTGAATATTTTGTATTTTTTAATATTTGTATCGATCGATCGAATTGCGTAATCGTTCTTTTTGTTTTATAAATTTATTGGGTTTTATTTTTCATATTTTTATTTGAATGATTTATTTTATCACGTTTAATCGAACTTATTCGTTTCTTTTTTTTTTCTCTTTTTTTTTTCTTTTTTAATCGTTCAATACATACAAGTTCTTTTTACGTTTCTCATTCACGTTATTAATTGTTTTCTCATACATTACATTTTAGTTAAATTTATCTGAGTTTGGCCAACGTTCACAGTCCACTGCCTTTTTTGTTATTTAATTTCCAATCCCGTTATCGTCAAGAGGAAACTGCGGTTTACCAATGTTTGATGGTGAGTTCGTTTTATCGACTAGCATTTATTGTAATCTGGTATACCATATCCTACAAGAAATCGAGATAAATTTAATGTTATAGTATCAATTTGTAATTAATGATTTTTCCAAGAAAAAAAAAAACAAGAGAGTACACGTTTAAAAATAAATTCGAAATAATCATTTCATTCAAATTACTTTGATAAATTAATATTTCTTTTTTTCATTACTCATTTATTTCTAATTTTATTATTAAGTTTTCTAGAAAAAAAGATAATACATAAATGTATGTAGTTCAAAGTAGAAAGTAAGTGCACTATTTTATTTTGACAATAACTAGAACTCTCATTGTTAAAATTAATGTACAACCGGAAGGGTGTGTTGTACTTAACCACCTATTGTTATTCTTTCAACTCGATTTCTTTTGCAAGTTCAATTGTAAGACGTTTTTAAATGACATTTTCACGGAACTAATAAACGAACACGTATTTCCTGTTACATTATTGAAAAAGTATGTATTATATATATATATTGAAATTGTAATATTGTTATTAAATAATAGTTAAAATAAATTATAGTGATGCAGTCGGCAGCTACAATTGGTGGTGGTGGAACTTATCCTGCCGGAGGGACCGGAAGTCGTGCTCGAGACTTGGGTCTTCGTGCTCAGAAGAAGCTATTAGGACGAGTGGTCTCCACTGGTGCTGGAAGATCTCTTTTAATAGATGACGCGACCACTTCACTCTTAGACAATCTCTACAAGTTGATGGAAAGAGCGACGAAGAATAATTCAAACTTGGATAAAAAACAACCAGAGAAAGTTCTTAAGAATATCGTTAAATTATCCATCAAGGTAAAAATATTTTTCGTTCTATTTTAAAATGTGAAATTAATCTACAATATAATTCAATTATTTGTGCGATTTTTTTTTTCGTATTTACATACAAAAAATTATCTAATGCTAATTTATATTTAATATAATATTAATTATTCGTATATATGTGTAAATTGAAAAAGTAATTTAGTGGAACGAAGATGAAAATATATTTTTAAAGGATTAATTTATTTGCGTTGGAATAAATGAATATAATTTTAAATGATGTTGATATTTAAGCAGACCATAAAAAGAGAGATGATGATTATATCTTATTTACTTATTCAGTTCAGAGTTCTTCTCTCAGATTGCAAAATGTAAGAAACTCGTTGAGGAGGGTATGCAACGGTCTTGAGTCAATTAATTTCAACGCAAGTGATTAATGCAATATATCTAATATGGCTTCATTTGTAGATCTCGTTCGTTCACTTTTTTTTAATACACACAGGTTGGACTGTTGCAACGTAATCAACAGCTCGGTCCAGCAGATGATGCAAAACTTATTGAGATCAGGACAGCTTTGAGAGCAGTAGCAATGGCTGTTGTCTCCTTCTATGAACTCGAGTTTAGTTTCGACAAAGCGTACTTAACTCGATCCCTCGAGCGTTGTAGATCTGCGATACAGGGTTTAATAAAACCTCATTTAACAGATAAATCTCAGGATCGGTGCGATCAAGTTTTCGATTTTCTAAGAAATCCTGAATTTTTAGATGCGGTCTTTAGACAAGATTCTGAACACAGACCAATCCTTGGCATGCTAGTCAGTGATATAAACAAAGCTTTAGATGCTGGACATCTTTGACTTTTTGTAGATTCCATTGTACACGATCGATATTAAATATAAAAAAAAAAAATGCCAAGAACACAAAGATTGGTTGGATCAATAATTTAACGTAGAACTGTCACAGAAGGTTGATTCTAACATTTTCTTACGTGTCCTGTTTTTTTTTTGGCAAGCTGCGTGTGCGTTGATATTTTTAAGCGATATTTTCCTAAAATTTACGCACGAAATATATCGCACTCACGGTGGTAGTCGATTTTCTTTAAGGTAACAACTTATGAAAAAAAAAAACAATATATTTTCCGTATACATGCACACGTATACATATACATACGTGATCGCTACTCTAGTTTTACGATCGATGAACGTATCTATTGATTTCTGCAATAATCGTTCAATACTCTGCTTAAATTAAGAATATCGATATATAAATATATGTATATTATGTAAACAAATTATATTTATTCGCGCGCCTAATTGTTAGGAATTATTATGAATTATTATGAATTAATATTATAATAATTTACATTTGTCGCGAAAGTTCGAATTTTGACGGTCCTTGAAAATGTAATGGAGTCGCACGTAATTATTGCACATTAAAGATAAAAATAAAAAGAAAAATAAAGAAAAATAAGGAATAACACATTCATCACGCGATAGACATTTTATAAATGATAATCACCACATATCTTAATTTAATAACATACACACTTATGTATATTTCAAGGATAATTATAATGTGTATATTCTACTGAAAATTATCGGTTTTAAGAATACGCATTTTATATACAGTATACACCTCCTCTCTTTACACGTTATTTATGATGATTATCTATATAGCGAAATGTTTTACCAATGGTCAATAAATTATTTATAAACGCGAAACCTTCTGTTCCTTTTTTATTATTATTATTATTGTTTTACCCTTTACTATAACATTTAACATAAAAAAAAACGTAGAAAAGACATATAGCGGAACAAAAAGTGAATAATACAATAAAATACTTTAAACTTTAAATCATAAACTTAAAGTTATATATTTAAAATTACACGATAAACGTGTAATTTTTCGTATGTGTAACGTTATCGTTTTTTCATAAACAAATTCATTTTTTTATTTTCTTAACCAGAAAAGTATATTAAAAAGTATATTTTTAACAAAACCATAATTCGTATATATTTTATTATTATAATATAATATATATATAGGATTCACAAAAATCATGAGTTTTACATAATGTTGAATTTTCCTAATATAAATTTTCTACAATAAAAAAAGCATGAAAACAAATATTTATTTAATAATATAACTTAATAAAATGTATGATTAAAATAAATTTAATGATGAAACGTCAACAAATATTATTACTCCTTACTATTAATTTATAACAAATTAATATACAATTAATTCAAGTTGAAATTCTATTAAAAGAAAAACTATATTTCCAAAGAAAATTTCCTAAAATAAAAAAAATTATAATAATACAATAATACGAGTAATAACGTTCTTATTTTAATATATAGTTCGTTAATAATATTAACGTGAAAAACGGAATAAAAACTTAATTGGTAGCATGTGGTATCCTATTACATCTTAATTTATGCAACAAAAATTATTTTGATAGAGAGATAAACAAAAATTAATTCGCTTAATCGATGAGATAAACTTATTAAAATTGTATAAGATATATATACTCATCATATGGAAAAGATTTTATTACTCTGGTTTGTATTAATTAAATCATATTACATAGAAATATGTGGTAATAGTTATTAAGCTTATTTTATTATAAGACAAGTATATGAGAGAGAAAAAGAGAAAATTGAAAGATTTAATCACGTAAATAATAATTATTGGTCTGTATAATTACTATAAGAGATGTGATAAGTACAATGACATTGACATATCCAGTTTTTCAACAAAAATTTAATGTATGCATTATTTTAAGGCCAACAATGTTGTTTGTTTTAGCCGAATAAATTGTACTTAAAATTTTATACATATATTCATTGTCATATTATTCGTTGACGAATACTATTGATATACATTTCCACTTGCATTCCAATGAATATTCAAAATATCATTAATATATATATATATATATATATATATGTCAGAAATTAATAAATATTTAAATTATAATCACATAATCCTTAATTATTTTTTATATACAATACAAAAAACATGCTTTTTTGTTGTATTTTAAATTTTTATTACTCATAGAGTCAAAATCTATGCCCTCGATATATTACTTTGAGCTAGAATAATGAATAATTTGAAGTTGATTATATCATTATCAATTCGTAGGAACATTCGATATTTATTATTGTGCAAAAGGATGTGCGAACATTTGGATGTTTCTTCGTATTATACTATGAATAATCAACTTCGTATTACTCATCAATGATCATACGATAAGAACAAATATGATCATCAATCCAGACCTGAATTACTTGTTATCTAACTGCACGATGAAAAATCGATAGATTATAATTTTATTTTAGTTTAATAATAAAGGGCTAGTGCAATATAATAAGTGCTTACGTTATAATATCTCAGCCAATTGCAGTACAAACAACATTAATAAAGGTCTAGAAGGACATTGCGTTCAGATATATTCCTAACTATATTAATAAAATCTTGTTTACTTGATAAAATGTATGAGTAGATAAGCGAGTATGAAGATTTATTTATTCAATTATGCATAATATGTGTATGGCAGAAGAAAGCTTAAAGAATCAGTCATCTCCTTATCATTTCTCTCACTTATCTTCCCATTTTATATTTCAATATTCTGTTATTATAATGTACCCACCATGTGTATAAATATGAAATTTGTCATATTTATTTAATATTAATAATAGTCGAATGATAATCTAGTTTACTTCATTTAATCCTCATATTTTCATTGCCACAATCCTGCATAATTTCCATACAAGTTTGCGGGAAGTGGTCCACCAGCTGTAAATAGTCGAGTACCTGATGCATCGTAACAATGGGTGTATATAGCTGGAGTATATTTAACATTTTGGAAACCATCTATATATTCTTCATCTGGAAACTAATTCCCCCAAATAAAAGATATTATTGTAAGATATGTTTTGCTATTAACTAATAAAATAAAAATATTCATAAACTTACCACATATCCTTTTGAGGCCTTCAATGCAACAGTTCTATTAGAATTGATAGATGATTCAAGGTACTTTTGAGCTCTAAGGTCATAAAACATAAGCATTCCAAGACCAGTTCCAATTGTTAAAACTGATCCTTGAAAACTGGCTGATCGGATACCACAGCCACTATATCTGTTTAGAAAGAAAGAATATCGTAATTTAATATGCTAATCTGTCGACGTGTAATATACATATTAATTGTAAGATATTCTTAAGTTATTAGAATATACCTTGAGGGTATCTTTTTAATTGGTTGTAAAGTTCTGGCATCTAATAATAATGTGTAAGAACGACAACCAACTGCATAAACACCATCGTCTTGAACTGCCAGGCAAACATTTTCTTGACAAGCTGGTAACTTTCGTGATATTTTTTGTTTAAAAGAATCAGCAGACCAGATATGTATGAAACTATTTAAAGATAGAGCAGCTATTTCGTTATATGCTTTATTAAAAGCCAGTGCTCGAACCTTCTGTGCTGATCTACATTCTTTCACGCACAAAGGTTGAATTAATCTATCAACCATATAAAAAAAATTAATAGACAATATATATAAAGGTAAAGAGTATTTATATTATCAATTATTTTCTCTTATACAATATTTTCAATCAACCTGTGTGTAGGTACATCCGCTTTATCAGGTGCTTCAGCTAGATCACTATCAATCCGCCATAAAGCCATTTTTGTATCTCTAGAGCCAGAAACTAAAAATTCATCATCTAGCCAACACATATCAAAAACCCAATCTCTGTGACCAGATTCTCCAACACAAACTGGATCCAATGTTGGTAGTCTGTAAATTGCTATTTCATTGCTATTTTTGGCTCCAGTAGACAGAAGAGTCCTATAAGAATGTTGTTATACAACAGAACAGTTGCAAAGACCTGATACAGACAAGTAATAACAACGTATATCAAAATTGAAAACATTAATCAAATTTAAATGACTACCTAGAAGGATTAATTTGAACAGAATGTATACCACATTGCTGTTCAGGAAGAGGACCTCCACCCGGATTTAATTGCCTTCCATGTAGGGATGGTATTTGATCTAATTTTTGTGTTGCTACATCATAAACCATCAGTTTATTACATTTTGTACCAAACACAACTTGTCTATCACTCAACCATTGCGAGCAAAATACTTTATTCATATTATTTAAGCTAACTGAGTATTCTTTGAATAGATCATGCGTCAGTATATGTCTTGATCCATATTCTTGATTAATTTTCCGTACTTCCTTAGTGTTGGTTTCTCTTGAACGTACATAGTCGACAAAATTAAAAGATGTTCTTAAAAACTGTCTTCCTTCGGTGATAGTTTCACTTTCTTCATCACTTGATTCATAGCATACAAAATCTTCAGGCTTATCTGGCTTTCTGTTTCTTTCTAATCGTAGAGCTAACCTATATAATATAAAAAAAAAATATAAAACTATATTAAAATAATAAATAGAAGGAAGACCTTACAATTTCTACAATAAAAAATGACCTAACACTAAATATAAGAAATAAATGTATCTACCTCCTGGCACGACGTTCTTCTAATCTAGTTGCTGTGGCACATGGAGGATGTCTTCCATAAATAGTCATTCTTTGAGTTTCAGCCATTATTTATAAATTACTTAATAATACTTATATAATCTGTAAAAAGAATGACTATTCTCAAACTATATTATTTTAGAATATTTGATAACACATAAGCTATCCGTTTCTTTATTCTAAGAACACAATGATTGATTAAATCGACACTTTTGTATGTATTTAAATATTATTAACTATAAGAGCAGTCTCATGTAACGTATATCAGTCACTTTCAATGACAATATATTTGTCTTCTACAATTATTTATTTCTCCTATATTATTTGCAAACATTTGTATGGAGATTTGTTGTGGTGACAGGATAAATCCTTCACTTTCTTATTACATCTGTGGTAGTTATATGTCATGAACAAAAAATTATTCCTTTTAAAGTAAATTGTTTTTATCTTATCAAATTTTTATTTATTTCAGATCATTGCAAAACTGCAAGTACTTTGATATCTTAAATACTTATGTAAACGTATGACATGTGTCTAAATGTTCGTATTTTCACTTCTCACAAATAGTAACTTCCTTTAAAGACAAATGTGACTTGTGAAATAGATTTGTTAATCTATTTTCAGCTGCGTCTATCTATCTGTCAAATTTTGTATTTTAGTATTAGCAAGTATTTTAAAAACTGTCGTTTAATGAAAATCACAAAGGTGTGTCTTTTGTCCTTGTTTTATTAGAATAAAATGTAGATAAGAGGAAAAATAACTGTTAAATCAATCGAGCTCTAACACCATTCCCTTGTCATGTCTAACCGAGTTCCACGTTCATCTAACACGCGTCGTTTCTTTTCATGATAATTTAGGTTTTCTGCATTTAACAAACGACGGTCTTACCAATCTTGTTATTTTCTGGAAAATAAAACAAATGAAGATGCGCACGAAAAGCCGACTAAATCCATGTTAAACGAAACTTTTCGAGAACCAACCAACTAATATACCGCCATGTTGAATGCAATAGGTTGGACAAATTCTGTTAAAAGAAAGAATCATTTGACTAAATATTTTTGTACTTTGATTTCTCTGTCAGTCATATTATCTAAGCTAGAAATAAACAATTGAATAACAATTGATTCATATATAATTTCCTATTAGTTCTCCGATAAAATAATAATTACTAATTAGATTGATTTTATCGCATGTCAACATTGCTGTTTCCCCCACCCCAAGTTAGATTATTACAGCTGACGATGAAGGAACGCCGTCTAGCTATAGATGAAATTTCTTCTGAACTTTCTCTTAAGATCTATAAACTGTCGATAAGATAATTCGCAAGATAAAAATAAAAAAATTAATAATTTCGAATTTTTTTCTTACAAAATATTCGTAATCGCACAAACGATATTATTATATTTCATGTACCTATATCTCATGTTCCATGTACCATTCCAATTTTATTATGGATTTTGAAATATTCAATCTTGTTATCGATTATTATATTTTTATCGATATTTAAAATAAGATGATTGTATATGACAATTAGAATGTTTTTTCGTAATTTGACAATTCGTAAAATTTCTTTTTATCATTTTTGTCACGCCCTATGTTATCGACGAGAAACAAATTTTTCGACATTGGAATTTATTTCATTATTTATATAAGAATAAATTTCTTTATAAATTATTGTTGAAAAAATAAAAAAATAAAAAAATGTAAGGAAACAATACAAACAATTAGCTGAATAGTACTTGCATTATTTTTAAATGCCAGGATACACATTTACATTGCAAGTAATATTGATCGCTCATCATGTGGAGGCTGCTGCTTACAGAAACTCATAATTCTTGTGATAAAACACAATTATATTATAATTCATTAATAATTCGCAAATTTTTAATTTGCGAGAGTAACTTGAAAATCAATATTAGAATGTTAGTACTCTCTCGATTTAAAATCGAATAATTATTATTCAAATGAATGACTTATTGGCGCGTAAATTTGATTTATTAAATGTAGACAATGTATCACTTTATTAAACAAAAATTGTATGCACTAACATAATTTGATATTGTTTTATATGTAATAATTTGTATGTAACCTTCTTTTAATTCCATCTAAATACTAAGAAAGTTAATGTGATGACTAAATAAAAATATAATTTAATAACGGCGATTATTTTACCAGATGTGAATACAAAATTTTTAAATACTGTATCATGGTGATTGATTCATCTGATTGGCTGATCATTTGCCCGCGATAATTAAATAGTTACGAATATTTTTTGCAACATTGTACAAATGAAAAGAATTTATTTAAACAAATAATTAGTGTTAGGACGATTAATCGATATTAAATGTTTTATTTTTTGTCATTTATTTTCGCTCATTTATATATACATTATTATATTTAGTACAAAAATGTTCATGCACATACTGTCATGCCAAACAGTTTCTACACATATCAGTGTGAATAGAGATAGAAATTCATTTTTAATATTGTAAAGTGTGAATTTATGAATTTGTATTCTCTAATAAAACACATTTCGCATATTTAACGTATAATATAATTCGCAAAAGGGATCAGAAATTGTTAATTTCATTTTAATTAGAACGTACAAAATCTACAGATCTCTCACTTTTTATGAAATTAAAAGTAAGTTGTGGAATATATAGTATATCTGTAGAATATTAATAAATTAATCTATTTTTTTTGTTATTGTTGTTCATAATGAATAAAATATGTTTTTAGATATTTAAAAAAGTAACTATATAATTTTTTTTGCGTTATAACTTATTTTAATAAATATAACCTCACCCGCTAATAATTTTCGACAATTTATTTTTATTTTTTATTGCAAGAAGCAGAGATTTTCAGTATATAAATAACATCATCTTTTCATGAACAAATATGTACTTTATTTTAGAAAGAGAGATAGAGATAGAGATAGATGTTATTTGAAAGCTTTATTATGGTGCACGTTCGTTTAATTTTCGTGTCGAATGCATATTTTAAATAACAGAATTTGACTATATATACTTATTTAAAACATTTGCATAATTTATGTTAGCGTAAGAAAATAAGTCAATATTGTAATACAAATTATCAGATATAATATAATATGTATATGTACTATTTTGAAATAAAACAGAAAGGAAAACAAATTCTGTTTATCTCAAATGAAACACCTAATGTTACAAAGTAAAAACATTAATTTTCTAATAGATTCGTATATTAAACATTAAGAAGTTCTATACACGATCTTATATACATCTGAACTGTTTAACCAACGAACATGTATATATCAATGTAAGCCATTTATTCATATTTGTTCACAATGAAGTTGTGTTGTAGTGTAAATGAAGTCCTTCATTTCCTAGTTAATTGGAAATAAGATAATCGTATGAAAAATTTTCTGGACACAGGCCATATTTTCTTCTTTATAATAATAGTAATAGTAATAATAATAGTAATAGTAATAATAATAATATTAATAATAATAATAATAATAATAATAGTAATAATAATAATAATAATATTAATAATTATCTTAGAAATTTAATAATTTTACATATCAGACTATACATAAAAGACTGACCAATTAAATTGCTTTCTCTCCTATAAATAGCGACATGAATATTTTGAGCATTTTAGTATCCTCATCATTTGTTACGAGCATGAACGTATATTAAATATGACCTTATTTTACACTCCCTAAGTCTTAAATGTAGATCATAATAATGGTCTGCATTCATAACACATATGTGTGTAAAAATGCTAGTATCATCTATTTCGATACAAACGAAGATACTATAAGAGAACGATCATAGATTTTTCAAATGTGCAGATTGAATATAGACCATGATGTCTACACATTAAACTTCATAATATTTTATTTTATATTTAACTCTGACGTTCATTATAATTATTATTAGTATATGTGTTCGTGTGTGTTTTCGTGTATTTTCGTGTAAAGAATTACGTAGATAAATAAAAATATTACGCTTAAAATTAGTGAATTAAGTATTTACACATAATACACATTATTCGGTGGTTGACGGAGTGTAGTGGTATCCAAAAACACTTACTCACTTACAACCCGGACGATAAAATGTGCTTAATCGCGATTTACGGAGAGGCCTACGACTTAAGAAATTGTTTATGCACTAACATTTCCGACATATGATCAACTCCACAGCGTTTTCCTGAAGAACGTTAAATGAGGACAATATATTAATATATATTTTTACCAGTTGAGATTTAAAGTTTCAATACATACTATTGTTTGTAATCGATATAATTTATTAATAACAATGTGTGACTTACGCCGGTTTCGAGGCCTTTGATGTTGAAGTCAAAGATACTTTTTGTTTTTTACTGTTTCGAAGTTTCTTTACATATGCCTCTATTAAATGTGCTATCTTCTTAGGATTTATTTCTCCCGTTTTGTTATGGCATATCTATAAAAAAAAAAAAAAAGAAAGATAATATAATTTTTAATATCTTTTATATGGTCAAATTTCAATTTACTTTTTATAATAGTTAGATTTTACCTTCGGTACAGCTTTCCGCATAATATCCTTATATTCTTCCTTTGTTACGTGCTTTTTGGTATAATGGGGCTTTAACACTAACTTTACTTCTTCTACTACTCTTTCTTGACGATTCAATTTCTTCAAGAACTAAAATATATGCTTAATACATGATCAGGAAATTTATACAACATTTATAATAATAAACTAAATAACAAACCTTGTCTTTCACTTGCATTTCCACAGCTGAACTAGGAAGGTCGTCCAAAATTTGAAGTTGATTTTCATCCATGCGTACTCCAACTTTTGGGTTAGTAGCTAAAATAATAAATTTTATATAAAATATTTTCTTGTCTTTTTATATATACAAATAAATATTTAAAAATATATTCACAGTATTACATACATTTCTTTTTCTTTTCATTAGGTTTTTTACTCCTGCTTTTACTAACTGCCTTTGGAGGTGGTCCTGCTGCGAACAACGCATCAAAAGCATCTTTCTTCTCAGTACTTTTATTTGGCTTAGATGCATTATTCTTATTATTAGTGATGACTGGTTGAATAGAAGGACTATTATAATTTCCTGGACTAGGTGGATCGAACATGCCATCGCTTAAACTCGATCCTGGTGAATAAGGTGAAGACATATCAACAGCATCATTGGTCACTTCCATTATTACATCGCTGCCATTTTGTCCCATGGTAGAACTGTTTTTATTTTGATTAGATTTGGAAGCACGCGTTAATGTCGATTTTGTACTATTTGTAAAGATGTTAGGAAGCTGCGGTCTATCACTCGTACGTTGTTGTTTCATTTGATTACTTGGTGAAATGCGATTTGACTAAACAGACCAAATTGTTAACACAAAAACAAATATATTAGTCAAATATTACATACATGTAAATAATATCAAAGAAATAGAAGCATATTATGTGGTATACAAACCTGTATTAAATTACGTTGACTCGTATTAGGTGTACTAAATCCAGTGCTTCTCTGTACTGCAGCAGCAACAGTCGCCAAGACAGGATTAATAGTAGTAAACGGATTACTCGTAGATTGTGGATTTTGTTGATTCTGTTGTATTTTAGGTGGACTACTACAAGATTGTACCGTATCCGTTTGACTCTCTGCTACAGGTGATGAATCTCTTTTCGGCGATGCTCTTTTAATCGTTACCATAGATATTATTTTCGGCTTTTCAAGTTGTTTCTCTTGTGTTGGCTGATCTTGTTGCTGCATAGGTTCGTCGGGCATTAAAGTGATGTCGGCAGCATCGTGACTTCTCGGTGAATTTCTTTGACTTTTGTCTCTCTCGTCATTCGACGTAGCTTCTTGGCTTACATCGGGTGTCGGTGATCGAGATTTCGTGGGATCGAATGGATCATACGCGTCGGGAGAAGTTGGCGGCGAGGTAGGTGGATCTGGTGGAGTATTAGGGCCAATTTTCAATCTCAATTCTAATTCCTCTTGAGCTCTCATTTCAAGTTCCTCATCCGCTCTTTCGTCCATTTCTTCTTCCTCTTCTTCCAACAAAGGATTCATCATGGAAGGTCTGAGATTACTCGTTTGTTTATTTATTGAAAATTTAATTTGTGGTTCCGGTGGTGTCTTTGGACCTTGTGAAACGAATTGTTCACGAGGAGGAGATGCCTGTGGTGGACATTGTTCCGGAGTAGCTACTTCTTGTGCCTGTTTGTCATCGTCATCGCTTAAAACTATAACGTCGCGAGGAGAAGGAGTTTGTTCTCGAAAAGGTGATTGGTCCAAATCAATTACAGCTACAGGTTTTTTCGTAGCTGCTATTTCAGCTGCCTTAGACTTTTTTTTCTTTTCTTTCTTACCTTTCGGTGATTTCGATCGTTTGACTTTCGTCTTGTCCTTCTTAGATCTTTTGGGTGCTGTTGCTGCTTCAGGTTGCATCGGTTCTCTACGCCTACGTTTTAAAGGTTGTATAAGCGGAATAGTTTCGGGTATTTCTGGAGCACTCGTCTGATTGGCTTCATTTTCCTTGTTAAAGCAAACGCTTACTAAAATATTGTCGCCGCTGGCAAATACTTCTTTAGATGGTGGCGGTGTTCTGTTCCTCTTAGCTTTCCTTCGTTTTTCAGGTTCCTTCGACTTTTTACTCTCTTTCCTTCGTTCCTTTTTCTTCTTCTTAATAGCTTCCTTATTAGTTAGAATAACAGTTAAATTTTTCGGGGGTACCGATACGTTATCCAAAACAGAAGGTGGTGACCATTCGCGTGATGGCAAAGGTTCCGGTTGAGTATGAGATGGTGTCTTTGATCTTGACCTTGACCAAGATGGTGTCCATTCGGCACTCCAAGATTCTCTTTCTTCACGTTCTCTTGAAAAATGTTGATTATGTTCTATCGGTTTTTCATTTATCTGATCCCAATTCCTACTACGATCTCGTTCACGCGAACACGATCTACCTTTAGATCTAGATCTACTGGCAGGCTTTCTTTTGTTGTGTCTCTTCTCTCGTGATTTCGATGCTGCTTTAGGTGATCTAGAACGCGTTCTCTTACGATTCCTCGATCTACTCCTTGACTTGTATTTCTTCAACTTTGTTTTCCTCCTCGCACGTGATCTAGAGAGAGATCTTCTTCGTGATCTTCGTCTTGGCGACAAAGATCTGCGTTTTCGTGAAGTAGATCTCGATCTTGATCTTCTTCTTGAGATTGATCGTTTTCTTGACAAAGATCGTCTTCTAGAAAGTGATCTTCTTCTTGGTGATCTACGTCGAGATCTAGACAACGATCTTCTCGACGCAGATCTACCACCACTACCACCGCCACTACCACCACCTCCACCTCCACCACCACCACCACCTCCACCTCCACCTCCACCTCCACCGTTACCACCACCAGCATTACCACCACCTGTCTTAGAATAAGATCTTCGTTCTCTTGACCATGATCTATGTAATCTAAGCCGAGATCTACTTCTTGATCTTAATCTCGAATAAGAACGACTTCTACGATCCCTGGAACGTGAAATTCTACTCGATAAACTTCGACTTCTCGTTCTACTTCGTGATTTTTCTCTTATATCTCTACCATACTCATCCTTTTTAGGTCTGACAGGTTTATCAGCTACTATTTTTCTAACATCGTATCTTGGCATTTCTTTCCTTTTCTCTTTCTTCTTTGTAATTTCTTTAGTCTTCTTTTTACTTTTTTCTTTATCCTTATCCTTTTCTTTGTCTTTATCCTTATCCTTATCCTTATCTTTATCCTTTTCTTTTTCCTTTTCCTTTTCTTTTGATTTTGATCTCTTGTCCTTATCACGATACTGTCTCTCCTTTGTACTTTTCGATATCTTCTTCCATGCCACATGATTGTCGGATGATATATTTTCTTTATTCTTCTCTACATCTTTACCTTTCTCCTTTTTCTCTTTCTTTTTCTTTTTCTTACTTTCTTCATCCTTATCCTTCGGCTTTTCATTCTCTTTCATAGCTAATTTACTATCATCTAATATCTCTCCTTCCTCCATATCTTTCTCCTTTCTTATATTCGAAACACTCAGTTCATCTTCGAAGTTCATTGCCTCGTCTGTTTCTGATATTGCTTCAGTTCCTAAACCAGCATAATCTACTGGAGTTCTACACCCGTCTAAGTCATCGTTAGTTTTATCCTTGGTCGGAGTAATTGGTTCTAAACCACTTTCGAATGGTGCTAAAGGTTCGTTGCATCGATCGTTTACTGGTAATTCATCTTTGCATGGTGTATAAGCACCATCGGAATCCCAAGTATGTTGATCTAAATTTTCTGTTAATAACTCCTGAGTATTGTCCTTTTCAATAGGAAACCGTTCTTCGTCATCGTCGGTACGAAAAGAAAGGCTACTCTTTCTACATTGTCTATTCGAACTATTTATATCTTCGTTATCACTGCATTCTCTGCTTCTATCTTCTTTTTCACTTTCTAAATCGCATTCGCTATTATCTCCAGTAGTACTTCTCAAATTTTCTTCCGTAAGTAATGCCAGTTTACTTGATTTCAATTTATTCGAGCTATCCTTTAATTTGTCGCTTTGATATTCCCATTGAATTTTTCTGAAACAATCTGTTTCAGTTACTCCATCGTCGTCGTCGTCATCGTCTTTTTCATTTGGACTATTTTTCGCCATATCTAAATCATCAAGTTTATCTTCAATATATTCTCCAGCCAACTCGCTACTGTCTACTTTTTTAGGCGAAGATTCCAATGTATCGGCGATAGAAATAATTGTATCAGAACTTTTCTCTGTTATATCAATAATCGGTTGCAAAGTAACACTACTGTTTTGTTCATTATCAATATCACTTTTTTTATCACTTTTTTTGGTATCATTCTCTGCAACTTTATTTTCTTCGTCAGGAGATTTTTCTTTTTCCAATTGATCGATACGTTTTTCTATGTTATCCTGATCACTCTGTGATTGACTTTTGGAAACACACAGTTTTTCTTTATTGTTTATTTGCGCTAATTTTTGTAATTCTTCGTCATTCGCTTGATCTTTCAATTTCGATTTCTCACTGTCTTTTATTATATCAGTTTTAGCTGAATCTTGAACTCCATTTTTGTCCTTACTTGAATCTAAATCAGATTTAGATTCTTTTTCACTGTCTTTCTTTTGATCAACAGCTTTCGTTTTTAATTTGTCTTGTGATTGTTTTTCATTATGCAATTTTTTTTCTTCCACTTCATCCGGTATATCATCAAGATCATCGTACAAACTGTTCAATTTATTATTAAGCTTGAATTTACTACCAATCTTAAATGTTATTTTACTTCTAGATTCGTGGGATAATTTCTTAGGTATTATTTTAGTAAATGGTTTTCTTTCACGTTGTAATGACTTAACATAAGAATCCGATGGTTCTGGAATTTCAGCTAAGTCGCAAGCTTGAACATCTCCGACTATAACATCGTCATCGTCCGGTATATTAGGTGGAAGGGGAGGCGGTTCAAGTGGTCCAATTTGCTGTGATAATTCTTGTTCCGTATGTCTAGCAACATCCATCGTTTGTGACGAATAAATCGATAAATTAGGACAATCTACTTGCGAATCTTCGTCGTCGTCGTCATCGTAAGCCGTCAATCGAATGTCAGATCTTACATTTGGAAGTGTTGCTTGCTGTATATTTTGACAAGTAGGAACTGATTGTGAAAAAGCTGACGCTACTTGCGGAGGATCTGAAGGAGGAATTGGTATATCGTAACTATTGATTATAGATTGATCTTTTTCACTACTTTTGTTGCGAGTACTATCGTTACTATCACTATCAGCTGTGAATGGATCATATTTATCACCACTTTGTAATTCCTTATTGGTATCATCTTTATGAGAGTCATCAATAACTAATTCTTGATCACTATCATTGTCTTTATCACTTTTAGAATTTTCATCAAAATCTAGTAATTCGGAAGGTGGTTCAGGAGGTGGTAACAAAACCATACCACTATTATTGTGGCAAGGATCTTGAACGTCGTATTCGGATTTGTTCGTAGTATCAATGTCACAATAAATATCACAGTCATCGTTATCTTGTCTTACTAATGATGTAGAGGCAGTTTCAATAACGTGGGAGTTAAAATTATCTCGTTCTCCTTGAAAATTTCTTGACATATCCTCGGAGAGATTTGGAGGTAGATTCTGTGTATGTTGTGGCCGTACGACTGGCCCAAGAGGAGGAGGAGGAGGAGGACCTACCGGTGGTCCAGGCATGCGTAATGGTGGTCTTGATCTTGGAAATCTTTCAGGAGGAAAAGTGAAATTATCTGTGAAAGTAAATGGTGGCCTTTCTGGTGTAGGATATCGAAACCTGTCATTTCGGAAATGTTGAGGATTACGATTTCTAAATGGTGGATTACTTCCAAACATAGGTGGACCTCCACAATGCTCGAAGTTCTGATTATAGTATCCTGGTGATCGAAAATCTCGATGGCCGAAATTATCTCTCGCATCCGATCCACCATAACCATGTCGACCTCCACCAGAAAGAGATTCTCTACCACTGTAACTTTGTCCACCGTGACGGTTGTTGTCACGATACCCACCACGAAAATTTCCTCTGTTACCTCCTCCACAAGGATTATTATACAAGGGTGCTTGCATAATGTTATTTGGATTAACGTTAGATAAATCTAAAGGTGTATCAGAATTTTTAATAACTTGCTTATCATGATCGTTATTATGATGTTCATTTTCTTTCTTGGGACTTTCATTATTGTTAATGCTCTTCTTATCTCTAGATTTACTATCGTTTATATATAAAGTCCCATCTGTCTTAATGATAACATTGCTATTCTTTCGTGAGTGCCATAATTCTTGGCTATTGATAATACTGCCTAAAATATCTACTGTATCTTGTACTTCCAAATTGTTAAGAGGATTGGCTATGCCTTTTATAGCCACGTGTCTTCTAGTTGATGCGATTATCGAGCGTCTTTGTACGCTAACTGCAGGGCCATCGCCAATTGAACCAAGATGTTCATCGTCAGATCTAAATTAGACATAATAATGTAAATGTAAGTAATTACAATAATTTCTTTCTTTATATAGGTTTATTTTACATTTAATAAGAATAAAATTATGAATAATTTCACTCACCCAGGAGGACTATATTCTAATCCAAGATTCTCCCCGAAAAGACTAACTCGAGGAACAAAAGCATTAAATCTGATATTATTAACTGATTGATTGGAAATAGGCTGTTTTGGCTTTAAAATACCAAGTGGACTATTTCTGATTGGTATAATTCCTAAATGTTTACATAATCTTCTTTTAACTGTACTATTACAAGCTAACGTAGAAGACACAGTACGTGCATGTTTTTGTTTCCACTTCTGTAACAAACAAATAATTATTATGTTTATTTATATATCTTATCTTTGTTTCTAAAAAAAAAACATAATGTAAAGTAATGAAGCATATATTATTTTTTTAAATAATTGTCATAGTATTTTCTTAAAATGAATTATACATATTATTAAATAATACTTTGAAAACTTAGAATCGGTAGAATAATTTCATCCTACTGCTTACAAATAATCTTTCTAACAAATTAATACGTATAATTAGAAAATATGTTACATAAACGACATAATTGTGTTAAGTATGTATGAAAAGTTCTGTTTAAAAAATATTATATTTAGGGCGATCTTAAAAAGATAACAATAAATAATTGTTCAATAATATTTATTACAAAATAAAAAATAAAGATATTATGCGTATTTATTTCTGATTATAATTATTCCAAGACTTCACACACAATCATAATGACAAAATTATTAACATTTAAATTTCAAGTGCCATTTTTCGATATATAATTTAAAACATTGTATTAAAAATATGAGTATGAATATAGTGAAGTCCGGTTCTTTTATATTATTGAATACTATTATTATTAAAGTTTCTAATTTTTTTTTTATATATTTAATTTTAACTTTTCTTGGTGTACAATTAATGAGTGACAGAAAAAGTGTGCATAAATTTGTTTGCATTTAACTACAGTTAATATTATTATATTAATTTTCAAGCAAAATTAGAAAAAAAACCAAGTGCATCTAGTGAGAAAATTTGTTTATTTGTATAAATTAAGGACATGGATGCATACATATAAAAAGGTCAGCCTGGATAAATGGATATGAAAGATGTTACGATGGCAATTGAATATGATACATTTTAATAGAAAGTATATGGAGCACAGGAATAATTACGAAAAACATAAATGTCATGTTAGTATTCTGCTCGATGAGAAATTAACAGTATACCTTGCGCGTTCTCTTTGTTCTTTTCTTAGACTTCCTTCGTGATGAGGATGGTGCAATTTGAACATATGTAACAAATTCCTCTTCTTCCCCGTCATCGTTATATTCTGTAATACGTACTTCTCGAACAAGAGTACTATTATTATTAGATGATCTCGTCCGTTTCTTAGACTTTCTTTTAGTTGTCTTGGTTTTCGATTTAGATTTAGAATTAGACTTTGAAATTATTGGAGATTGACTTATGCTATTATCACCCACTGATTCCAAACCGGATGAAGTAGATGGTTGATTTGGATCAAATATTTGTTCACGATTATGTACTCTATTTATTTGCAATTCGCGTGCACGATTACGAATATTAGCTCGTACACGTTCAGTCTGACGAGTTCTAGGAATTATTCTAGGTACAGAATGAGTCTGTTCATTTGAAACTCCCGTACGAGTTCGACCATATGAAACACCAAGTCGTCGTGCTTCTTCCATTAGATCTGAGATTTCATCCAAATCAATTTCAACCTACAAACGTATATTCAAAATAACTATACTGATAGTGGTAATAATAATAATAATAATAATAATCAAATTATCTATAGTGTATATTAAAATCTTTATAAAAATAAATAATTAAATATAATTTAAAATATATTAATTTATTGACTTTTTAACTAAACATCGCGTGAAATTAGAGTGAACTATATAGTATATATCTTACTGCTTCAGCATCATTTTGACTATTTTGAGAACATTCTGGACAAAACCATTCCTCCATGGGAACTTCAGTCATAGGAGGAGTGAGACACTCCAAATGATAACCAGAATCACAGGCATCGCACAATAACATTCGATCTTCTCTGTCACTTTGGTGACATACTTCACAAAAAGTTGGATCTTCTTGTACATGATCATCAGTGCGAGGTGTTATTTCAACAGGTATATGCCTCAAAATCTAAATAAAATCGAAAATATGTATAATGTCTTCACAATCAAATATATAAAAATGTTATAATTACAATATTATATGATTTGAAAAAATAATTACCTTTCCTCCAAGTTCTTTTCTCACATGAATCACTGTAAACGTTTGGCGATCCACTGGACAGGTATTAATATTTTTACTCCATTCTATTAAACACTCAAGACAGAAACAATGTTCGCAAGATGATGGGGTAGCTAATTCTTGCTTTCTAAATGGCAGTAAACATATAGGACATTTTTCTACTTGTTCATTATCTGAATCAATTTCAGATACTGGCGTCGGTGTGCCAGGTTTTGTATCATTTGTAGTTTGCGATTTACTACGTGATTTATGTGTTGTATTAAAATTTTCAGCACTATTTTCCATTTCATCATTACTTGTCCAATCGGATTGCCATTCAGAACTATTACTTTCTAATAGACAGAAATAAAAAAAAAATGATATTGTAAAATCTAAGAATAATATTGTATTCCATTACAAACAAACAACATTTTATATACCATAATGAGCTGATCTTCTATTTCTATTTGAAGCAATACTTTCATCACTTGATGTATCATCCTCACTAATTACTCTCTGTAAAAGAAATTATTCGAATTAAAATATCTTCAGAAAACTGTTACATGTATAATTTAATAAAATCTTCCAAGAGCTTACATAATTTCTTCTTCGAAACATTGGCTTTGGAACATCACTTTCTTCTGCACTACTTTCTCCGTCACTGACAACTCTCTGTAATTAAAAAAAAAATATATTTATAATGTCTTTAGATGCATTTAATATTAATATGACATATTGTATTATATTGTAGAAGACATTGTATACATACATGTACTTGCTTTTTTCTAGGAGAACGCACAACAGATTCATCACTACTCTCATCATCCGAAATGACAAGCCTTCTTCGCTTGACCGTTCGATATTTATGATCGCTATCACTTGACATTTTTATAGTACACTAAATTTATACCCACTGCATCTCTTTTATTAAACTGAAAAGATAACCCTTGATATACAAGTATATGTATAAAAAACTTAATGCTAGATTGATGAACTTACTATGTATACCATTAATATTTTGCATAATGTGTTTAAGCTTGATTAAAATTTCAAATTAATAAACTTAATACCTAAAATTCCTACACTCATATATACATGTTATATCTGTAAATATATAACATAAGAGGCCAAAGAAAATATTTTTTAACGCATGTAATATGAATTGTTTTCATATGTTCGTAACTCTTAAGTCTAAATATAAAACACCAGTTGATATAAATTTATTGACTTTATGATAAATTTATATGCATTATTATATCAAATAATGACAAATTCATTTCTATTAATGCATTTATGATTTGAATTATATACAAGTACTAAAGTTAAATGATTTTAGTATATAGGCATTACTGCTAACACCTTTTATAACTATATTAAATATTTATAAAACCATTTGCTTGAACACAATATATGCAAGAAATAATTCTAATCTAATTATTAGTAATTCATATTTTTACATTAACTTTCTCTCTTTTTCTCACTCACTCGCTCTTTCTCTTCTACTCTCTCCTCTTTCTCTTTCTATCTTTATCTCTCCCTCTTTCTCTCTCTTCCACTCACACTCTCTCTCTCTCTCTCTCTCTCTCTCTCTCTCTTTCTCTCGCTATTATTTTACTGACAATGGTTAAGTTGCATATACCATTAAAATATACGCTGTTTTTCATCGATATTCGTGAAAATCTATTCTATATTGTATGAGAATATTGAAATGCCGACTAAACAATTATTCGATTATCAATCACATATATAATTGACTGAAAGTTATGAATTCTTCTCAATTCCTCATCGTCGCTTAAGTTTGCATAAGAGCTACAAACACAAATCATACCAACACAACACTATTAACACAATCATAACTTTCAATCAGTTTAATATCGTATCACGTTTGTTTATGATTAATATACGTTATATATTGGCCGATAGTTTGTAAGTTTTCCTAATGCCATACTTCGTCGAAATGAAGATGTTGACAGACGAAGGTACACTTCCTATCACAAACCTGCGGACATTTTGAGCTCGCGACGCCGTTACGACGTACGAATATTTTCGTCCTTGTGAACAATCACAATTGAATTTTTATTGTTCCTTCGAAAATTTTCTTTTTATTATATAGATTTAATTTAACATTAAACACTTCTTTTCTCACACTTATCTTCTAGGAAACAAGCCGATATCTAAATAGTTAGAAATATGTTCAACGTAGTATTAGTAACGGAAACGATAAACAGTTGTTCTTTTGATTACTGCACTTATTTCAAACTAATGGAGCTTTCTATTCTTTCCATTTACCTGATTAATTGTGAAATGACATCGTTCGATTTTATTAGTTTTGTATTGTTTCTATAATAAAATAATATTAATTAAATGAGTATTTTTCTTTATATTATGATAATAAAGATATTTATTTAAAATATATAAACTTACCATTAGCGTGTTTATCATCCGGATATTCTAGGAAAATAGTCAATTAGTTCCTGATTTATCCGCAATGAAGTAAGAGATTGTGATTTCTTAGTTATGTTTAAAAATTCACTAGCATTTAAGTGAGAAGGCGTATGAAATAACGTACAATGACGCCCTCTAAGCGGAAGTAGAATTAAGTTTGTAGTAACGTTGCATGTGTAACATTTACGGAACTGAACAGCTACTGCCTTTTGGTGTGGAAAATTTGCCATCATGGGTCGTATGCACGCTCCTGGGTAATATAATAATTATATTATTATAAATAATAAAAAAATATTTTCGAAATACTGCTTTTTGAAACATTAATAAAATAATGAATATAGCTAAAAGTATGAAGTCATGCTCGTTACAATTTCTATAATTTTAACCACTTATTTCCATCGACCACGTCCTCGTAGATTCTAAATTATTTCAATTTTCTCCATTTTTTCGTACTTTTTCGTACTTTATCGTGTTTTTATAATTAAATTTATTTTACATTAAAGTAATATATACCGTTTAGTGTTTATATATATACATTATGCAGTAAAACATAACCTAACTTTTTTTAGGATAACACATTGCCATGCTATAATTTTTTTTCTTTTATTGAACTGTACTACACGTATTTTTTTTAGTTAAGTCTAGTAAAATTAAATACAATAAAAATTAGATTTTTTGTGAAGTAAAATTAGTTAATTGATTTTATGTTTATATCATGCCATTTAAATAACATTGATATTGCTTTCTGCAGAAAGGGTATATCCCAATCAGCTCTCCCTTACCGCCGAAGTGTACCAACTTGGTTGAAGCTTACTCCAGAGGATTGTAAGGACCTCATTTATAAACTAGCGAAGAAAGGATGTACTCCATCTCAAATTGGTAAATTTCATCGCATTCTCAATTAAATTTAAAATTATTTTTTAAATATTGAAACAGAGTCTAAAAGATTTGATGACACATTTTTTAAATGTACTGGGGCAATGAAAATAGTAAAATAAATTAAATCAGAGTTAAATAATGTAAAGATCAATGGATTTAGTAAATCTTCTTGATATGTTTATGAAATAGAAGTGTTACCATTTTGCATTTTTAGTATAAGTTGCCACTGATAATTGTATCAGAAAATATAATTGATGATATTTAATGGTATATTAAAGTTAGTAATTTTATATTTTATATTTTCTAGGTGTTATTCTTCGTGATTCTCATGGAGTCGCTCAGGTAAGATTCCGTACAGGAAATAAAATCCTCCGCATTGTTAAAAGTATGGGTCTTGCTCCGGATCTACCTGAAGACTTGTATCACTTAATTAAAAGAGCAGTCGGAATCAGAAAACATTTAGAAAGAAACCGCAAGGACAAGGACAGTAAGTTCCGGTTAATTCTTGTTGAATCAAGAATTCACCGCCTTGCTAGATATTATAAGACGAAAGGATCACTTCCACCAAATTGGAAGTACGAAAGTTCAACTGCCAGTGCTTTGGTGGCGTAATCCTTTTTATTGTTAATAAATGTAAGAAATAATAAACATCTGTCTTGTCAATTTATGTATATTTTTGTTCGTATTATTCCAATTACTTAAAGTACATAAAAATTACACAATCGTACGATGTGACGAACATATAAATTTTAAAAGTAAAAGGTTCTTTTGCACGATCATCGTGAAATTGCATCAGCGTATAAGAACTAACGAAATCTTGCATTGAGATGAGTTAAACTCAATGAAACAGCGTTGTTACAAAAGTAGAGGGGGGTGTAGTGAGTATGAGTCTTTGAAAAAAGTTAAAAGAATCGTTGGCTCTTGCTCATGCAACAAGATTCGCTATTCCGAATCCTGAAACTATTCGTCATGAATGTCATACGGTTGCATTACACAACTGTGCGTGTGTACGTACATTGCGCAATTAATCTGAAGCATGCTTTACACATAGACATCGCTAAACCGAACCCGATAACTTTCAATCTTTGCTTAGATGTTAAACTTAAGAAAAAGCAGAGGATATGTAGAGCGAACAAGAGTAGAGTAAAATGTTCTCGCGAAAGCAACACACTTTTCTACGATTTACACGACATGTAATGAGGAAGGTAAAAGATGGATCTCTCTTTTTGCTAAGTATCTATTTTCTTTTGAAAATTATTCTTTCCGTTTATGTTGATCTCGTTATATGTAAATATGTGTATACACATATCCTTATATGTGGTAAAAATTGCAGTGGTAGATTCAGGACATAAACTGAGAAAATTAGTTTATATGAATATATGTTTGATATGATCGTGTTTCTGAGATATAGCTCATTTTATGGACAGACCGTGCGATTGTCTGACCACTTCGTTTTTCAGATTTTAATCTACTGGATCATTTTACTAGGGGGAAGGGTGCATCTAAAATCTATTGTTTAAACAACACCCATCGATTTATACAACAATATTTCGAGATATTACGAGATATTTGATCAATGGGTTCCTGTACTCTTCATTTCATTGAATAATAAATAATACTACTAATACTCTTATAATACATTTATAAATATGCCGTTAATTATCAGAATGGACTATTAAAAAATATAAAAAGAAATTAATTATACGATTTATATTACAATATAAATAATTGTTATATTTTTAATTTTTTATATATATTTAGTTCGGTACGCTGTTATAGTTATTAGCCCACGCATACATATATGTATAATAAAATATATGAAAGAAGATCAAGATCAAAGGTCGTGAAAGACACGAAGATTCGTGGGTCGTTGTCAGCGGAAGGATTTGAAAAGTCGAGTTGAACGGGGGTTGAGAGATGCAAGGACGACTCGGTCCTCGTACGAGGAGATGTTGAGAGGAGGAAGAAGCAGGGGCGGAGGCGGATGAAGAGGAGGAGGTGGAGGAGGTGGATGACGATGAAGAGTACAAGGGGTTGAGGGGGGAAGAAGTATAGAATCGGCGAGAGACAGTTCAGTGGCCCTCCTCCATCGGCCGCGAGTCGCGCCTTTCCAAAGGCCAGCGGGCTCCTTGTCCTATTTCTGACGTCACGCGAGTGCACAAGAGAGTGCCTAACTAACGGCGCATGCGCGACTGTTCACCAACATGGTGAACGTCCTGCAACTCTCACTCGCGACTCGGCAAGGTTGACTGCGAGACGACGAGTAGTGAGCGGTTATCACGTCGTTTGTGCACGGGCCCCGAATAAAGGTCCGGACTCGTTAAATTTTATATTCGACAATTGCTAAACCTTACGCGGGGGGGAGAGTAATTATCTTATCTTTTTTTTTTCTTTTCTTTTAATCTTTTCCTCTTCATCCCTTATTATCTTCTTATCCTTCTTTATAATTATTATTTCCTTTTTTCTATTCACATTTTCTTTATTTTTCAACAACCATTTCTAAAACTTTTGTCTCTTTATTCGAATATAATCTTCCTTCCCTTCTCTTTTTATATTTTTACTCTTCTTATTCTTTCGATCTCGTCCCTTTCCTCTTCCATTTTCTTTCACTCTCACTTTTACTCGTCCTCGATACCTACCCATTCCCCCCCTTTACCTTTTTTTTTTTTTACCGATGATAGTGCCGATTCTCAATCACGTAGACAAATTGAATGGAATAACAGTCTCAATAGAGATAACTTCATTTTTGGCTTGTGCCCTCCATCGTCCTTCCTCGATTATGGATAGGCAAGAGGCTCGACAAAGTGCTAACATCTTTGACACATCCGAACCATATTGAAGGTGGAGGCCGGCTATAGAACATCGCCGTGTCAGGAAGGTGCTGTCACTCGAAAGGTATGTAACGTACCGCTAGATCGGTAACATATGGATGTGTCCACCTCGTCGTCAGGTTCTTAGTCGTCGTCGTCGTCCTTCTCCCATACGCGGATATGCAAAATCGCCTACACTATTTCTCTTTTCTTTCTTTCATTCTTTTTTGCTAACTATGTTATTACCGTTATCATTAAACGAGAAAGAAATAAAGATAAATAGAATTAAAGAGAAATCTTTGAAAGTATGAAAATGTGAAACTAATACGCGAACCGAATCGAACTGTTCCCGATCAATAGCTTTCATTTTTCTTCTAAAGAAAGAAAAGAAAAAAGAAAAAAAAAAGGAGAGAAGATTTAAAAATATCCCAAGTATTCGTGTTACAAAAGGATTTAAAAAGAGGCGCCATTGGAAGGTCGCCCTTCGCGCGATTTTTTCGAACGACTCGTGCGTCGCCCTTTCGAGAGAGAGAAAGAGAGAGAGAGAGAGAGAGAGAGAAACGATCTTTCGTATCCTTCGGCGCGCCCAATGCGCGCGCGCGAAGTAGAAAGAGAAAGAGAGAAAAAGAAAGAAAGAAAGAGAGAGAGAAAGAGAGCTAAATTGGTATCCATCGGTCTTCTCGACACTTTTACGAGGATATCCTCACGTAGTAGGATCAAAGTACTTCCACAGTTGTTAAATCTTCTGAAGATGATCATATGATTGCTTTGAGAAGCGCGAAATTAAAATAGCATATGCCGAGAAAGAAAGAAAGAGAGAGAGATAGATAGATAGAGAGATACACACACACACACACGCATACACATATACACACACCGATTGCGAGATCGACTTTCGCGGCGCGCGTGCGCGCGCGCGCGCAAACACATAAGAGATCGTGAAAGCCAAGACGGCGGCGATGTCGTTACGATTTGCGAGTCGACTCGCTCTTCTTACGTTAACGATATTTTTCTTTTTTAATACTTCTTATTCTTCTTCTTCATCATCATCGTCTGCCATGAACTATTTACTATGTAAATGATAATTACGTAAATGGGTATATAAATATAGATCGAAGAGGAATGGAATAAATTGATCGTTCTATATTTTTTACTACGAATCGAACCATATAATGAATTACATAAGAAAATTTGTCATTGTTGTTTGGTTTTAAATCAAAATTGACGAGATTAAAATATAAATTAAATGACAAGTATTAATGACGTTCATTGTACAGATTTGGTACTTTCGATTGCATAAGATACGCTTGCCTAATCATTTCTTTCTCTCTCTCTCTTTCTCTTTCTTTCTCAAGGATGCAAAGAAAGAAATCGAAAAGAGAAATGATCGATACGAAAATAACGATTAGCTTATAATAAGAGATGAAAATATCTTCGAATCGTATTGATGACTCGTAACTATCTCAAAGAATTTTTATTATTATTATTTTTTTCTTCTTTTCCTCTCAAGCGGATCTCGTCGTGACGTGACTCGACGACGTACAGCTACGTTCTTCAGTTCACAGACGACAAAAAAAAAGGAAGAAAAAAGAGAAAAAAAAACAAAAAGGAAATAAAAAGAAATATGATTAAAAAGAGAAGATCGAGGATGATTCGTATAGAAATATTTTTTTTCAATAATCTCTACGGTATTTACCGTGAAGAAGTCATGGACCCGACAATTGCGTCAGTTAATACGACGACTCATCGGACGTGCATTCCATTCAAGTATCCCCATTTGGTATCTCTTTCTTCCTCTCTTTCTATCTTTCTATATGTCTCGATTTCTTTCATAATTGCTAAAGTAGCAAACATTAAAGTTCGCGTTAGGTCGTTCGACAATTCTAGGAGTTAGGTAGAGTACTATTTTCTAGATAGCATATAGTATGTTTAGCCTCGGAGTTCTCCCATTCCAGGCTTCCCGCGAGAGGCCCAAAACTACTCTGCACAACACCTTTCTCTTTTCCTGCTGCTATTACGCTCGACGAAAGCGAACTCGCGAGGCTCTCGGGTTGCTCGACGAGTCTTACTACTAACTTCGCATCTTATCTTTCTCTTTCTCATGCAAAAAGCCGGTCCTAGCTGTTTCTCTCGAGGGGATCATAGTTCGTTCCTATATATATATGTATATATATATATATATATATATATATATATATATATGTATATTTTTCATCGAGCGTAAATACCTATGTATATACCAATATATCTATACTTAGTTACATACACGTGTATATATACATACTATATATATATATAGGTACTTAGATACAAGTATTACGAGTACAGAACGGTCGAGTTGTAGGAGTATTTTGCCCAGCCCTGTGTCCACTACGCAGGGTGTGTGTATGAATGTCTGCCTACGCGGCCGACCATAACCAGTTTCCTTCCACTGCTTGAAATCTCGCGGTTGCGCTCATCGAAGTCTCTTTCTCTCTTACTCTTGGTCTGTTGAAGTCTCTCGGTTTAGCCGAAGGGGAATGAGACTCTGTACGAGTAAGAGACAGATAGAGACTCTCGCTGTATATGCGTTTGTTGTGTGTATGTGTGTATGTGTCACGGTAGAAAGAGAAAGATCAAGAGAAAGACTAACTAACTAAGATAGAAGGATGAAGTGTGCGCGACGAAGTTAGAAACATCGAGAGAAAAAGAAAGAAAGAGAGAGAGAGAGAGAGTGGGAGAGAAAGAAAGAGAATGAAAGGGGGCATAGAGGGGGGAAAGGGAAAAAGAGACTCGTGTGCCGTACCCACTGCCAGGCTAGACGTTGTTCGTGTACAACCTTCGCATTCTTCGAAGAAGTGAAAGCCAGCAGTTTCAGGGAAATTCTGTCGGCTTCTACTTGGTATAGGTGAATCGACCACGCAACAACAAAAACGACGACAACGATGATGATGATGATGATGATGACGATGTCTCGAATATGGTCGATGGACCAATTATTATATATTTTAGAAATTTGACAATCGGGGAAAATTTGGATGATTAGTCATCCGATACGATCGAGTCATGTTTCTTACGTATTTTTTTTTTTTTTCTTTTTTCCCTCATCTTCTTCGGTTCTTATTTTTCTTCTCATATATGTGTCATACGATACATAAAAAAAAAAATGAAAAAAGATGTCGTAAATGGGGAAACTCATAGGAGTTGTGTCGTGTAACGGCTTTGACTTCGATGCCAACGTACACGTGTGCCACGTACGGCCGGTAGCGAGCATGCCGATGGAATGCGAATTTCACTTTTCCGAGCAGTTGACGCGCCGGTATTCCAGTCGTTTCGTTCGTTCGTTCCTTAGTTTGAGAAGGGGTGGTGGTGGTGGTGGTATACGAGATAGAAGTGCTTGAAGACGAGAAGGAGGAGGAGGAGGAAGAGTGGGAGCAAATGGGAATGTATCGGTTATTTCATATATATTTTTTGGTTGTTATGTTTTTCGTATCTTTCAAAGTTCTTCGCAAAATGCTTCACGACTTCGAATCCGACTACTTAGTTCTTCTTTAAGTTTTTCTTTTTTACCTACACGATTCGATCTTATCTTCAAACGGGTGAGTAGTCGTCGTCGTCGTCGTCGTCGTCGTTTTCGTTTTCGTCTTCGTCTTCTTCCTTTTTCTGTACTCAACGAGCATACGAATTTTTCGTACTGAAACGAACTTGGATTAGCTAATATAAAAGACAAAAAAAAAAAGAAAAGATACAAATATTACCTGGACAACGTCAGGTCGGTCACGTCGCGTCTAGCTCAGCTCGATGACACCATTTAATGGTTTTTCGGACATTTTTTTGTCTTCTTTTTATAGGTTTCGTTCTATCATCGATATCTTTTTACCTTTTTTTTTTTTTCATCTTCCGAAACATCTAAAATTTAGTAGAAATATTTTAAGGATATTAGGTATATCCGAACGACTATATGGTCACGTTACAAATAAACAAAAAATAAAAAAAGAGAAGAGATATTTCGAAGAAAAAAATATTATAATTCGTTGCGTTATTCACATTCGAGGAAGACGTGAATTTTATAACCGCGCGTGTTCGTGGTTTTTCTTAATCGATCATTTTATTTCTCGATGTAAAAATCGAGTCGAATTATTTTTCATATTTTTATTCTTTTTATTTTTATTTTTTTGTTATTTCTTTTTTGTTTTTTTTTTGCAGATTGAGAAGACGGACACAAGATGGTATCGAGAAGAAAAATTCTCTCTCGGTCGCGAGACAATCTCGTGGATTCTCAATACGAGGAACAAGAGGAGGAAGACGTTTGGTACAATCTCGACAAATTGTTCAAGGTAAGAAATATCATAAGAAAACTCTCTTTAGATTTAACATTATATAAAAAGAGAAAAAAAAAACCAAAACAATATTCGCATAAAGTTACATTTGAAAAAAGTTACATTCATTTTTATTAACCGTAAATACGTACTTACGGGTTATGATTTTTCTCGATAAGAGCCAATAATATCTTGTATTCTTGCATTTACATATACGCCAACTCTACTCGCTGACTTTTAAGCGTACCAACCGGTTTAGTAGTTCAGCCATGCACATGCAAGGCAAAGTGTTTTTGGCGACCCTGCATGCACGCTCTTAAAACTGATGCAAACCGGTTTGCAACGCGTGGTTATCGCTTTTCAAAAAATTATGCTCGTAATAACGAAAATAGTACCATGAGAAAGAGGATAGACGAGAAAGAAAGATAAAGAAAGAAGGAAAGAAAGAGATAGGCAAGATAAGTTAGTAGAGAGAGAGAGAGAGAGAGAACCCTCACACGGCTAACTTTAAGAGAAATGCAAGTCTCTCTCTCTCTCTCTCTCTCTCTTTTTCTCTCTTTTTCCACTCTCTGCATGGGCTGTTATGTGTTACAAAACCTTTAGCTAGGTAAAAACGTGGCCGAAAGCGAAATACGAAAGTCTCTCTCGATGGTGGCGTGTTTCTAGTAAGCGTATTATACATACATAAATACATATGTTCTTAGCTACAATTATATTCTCGCATTAGAATTTGTTAAGAATACATCATATATCTTCATGGAACTTTTGAATGAGAGAAAAGTATGTTTCGATCGAATTCTTAGCGAGTTCTAATTTTCAGTCTCAATGTATTTATACATACATTGTATATATATATATAACACATACATACGTTATAGTCTACCGAACCTTTCTCACCGTACGTTATGAATTATGAAGGAGTATTCGCGTAACTAGGTCGACTTTTAACGACTACCGACTAAGACAATGAGAACGAGTTAACCAGCTTCGAATTCGATTTGTCCTGGTACGTGATTCCGGTCAACTATGACGATCAATTCAATCGTTCGATGCATCATCCATCACCGTTATGTCTTTCCTGTCTTATTTTAAAAGAAAACTTTATTACGCCCATAGACTCGATCTTGTCACGCAATAATCAATCCCCCTATCAACTAACGTACAACATATACACACACACAGACACGTATTCGACCTTAAGGAATTCGATTAGAACGGAAATTGTAGCTTACTCTTATGCTAGCCTTCGTTGCATAACACCTCGTTCCGATCGATCTTGTTTAAACGATCTGGATAGACTGTCTAGAGATCATTCGAGATATTATTTATTTTATTTTTATCTTTTACTATAACCAAATCACACCAGAGATTTTTTTTTCATACATGCACACGCACGTACACATATACACAGATATATATATAAGTGCATGTATACTTAAACTATCTGTTGACCGATTCGGACGATTGATTAGAACGGTTTTTTGAAAGATCAAACGATCGCAAATTCGCCAATTGAAATTCATTGCCTTTCTCTCTCGAGTAAAAGAGACCTAGACGAGATCGAATGTTGTTATATCAGGTCGATATAATTTTAATTTTGATCGGTTATTTATCTATATTTTCTCTTAAAGAATGTTGCGGCATAATTAATTGAGAAAAGATAATATTAAAAAAAAAAATTCAATCCAGCCAAATGTCAAAAGTTTTCGTTTATGAGATCGATATCTCCGTAGGTTTCACTAATTAGCATTTTCAACTTTTCATATTTAAATTGATTTCTTTAGGATCACATACAAGAAGTTTTGGATAAGTGGAATCAAATAGACGATGAAATATGGGCGAAAGTAATTGTATTCGAGAGAAACAGACGCGTCGCGAAAGCGTACGCTAGGGCACCGGTTCTCACGATAAACGGTTCGAATGATGGTTTCGACGGCTTCAGGTGATTTACTTTCTTTATTATTCTTTGAAAATATATTCCTTTTCATTTTTGTATTCTTCTCCTTTTTTTTTCTTCTTCTTATTCTTCTTCAAATATAATCAATCAAAAGTTAATTGATTTTATTTAACGCGAAAACAGGATAGGACTTTGCGGTTTTGATAATCCAATGCGTGATCCGAAGACGGAAGAAGCGAAACGTCTTATTAATCAAGGAGTTAAAATTAAAATGGACGAGCAAGGAAATATACTTATTAAAAGGTTGTGCAAAAATAACGTTTACATAAAGCCTACCAATCAGGAGGATAATGCTATCGGTCCTGAAATTATACGCAACTCGCAAGGTGCTCTCGAACACGAAAAACCTGGAAAGGTAGGAACATTTTTTATTATTACTATTATTACTATTAAACGTAATTCTTTTAATACACAATATAATCGTGTGATGGTATAAATTATTATTCGAGAATAATAATTCGTTGAATAAATTTATCCTTATTATCTTATATTTTTTCGTTCATGCAGTTGTTCGATATGAACAAATTCAAAACAAATTTGTCCCGCGAAACTTTACGAGCTTATCCCGACAGAAGAAGACTAGAGATGCAATGTTTAAGTGCTATTGTCTTCGTGAGAACGGAAGCAGATCTACTGCAATGCCCAGTTTGGGTTCTAATAGTAAACGTTGTTGGATTGGACATGCTAAAGTCCAAATTGCCGCCAGGTATTATTCAAAATGAATTTCATAATTTGCGCGTTTGATCTTTTCAGTTTGCGATTTTGAAAATGAATTTTTGTTTTTGTTGGTTTTAATTAAACAATTGTTTTAGTTTTAGCCTTGCAAAGGCCTGTAGATATAAAGAATCGTCCAAGGATACCAATTCCGGATGAGGATCCTTACAGCGTAGCTGGAGTCTCGTCCTCGGTAGGACCTAGTGAAATAATGCATTCCGACAGAGATGCGCGAGAACAAATTTATATGCAATCTACTAGTTACCAGCAAAGACGAGCTGAGAGACCACCTAAATTACCACCAAGAGAAAATCTTTATGGTCATGATATACCTAAGGTTTGTTATAATAATGCAATAACACAACAATTTTATTACAATATTATATCATATAAAATATGCATATATATATATATATATATTTTTAAGAACGTTGTAATAAATTGTATAACTATCTATCGATAATTTCAGCCTGATTACGACGATATCGAGGATGATTATTCGAGAACGATAAAACCCGCCAATGAAGAAAAAAGGAACAAGAATGACGATAGAAAAAAATACGGTGAGATTTGAATGCGAATGAAATCATTTGTTTGATTATGTTTTTATAATACTCTTTTTTTTTTTTTTTTTGTTTTCTCATTACAATCATTGATGGTAGATAATGTTAGAGCACAGTTTGTTGTTTTTAATTTGTTATAGACGATCCATATTATTGCGGATTACGTGCACGCGTACCTAACTTCGTGAAAATGGCAAGGAACGGACAAAGTAAAGGTGTTGTTCCTCGAGGACATGTTAGACCACAACCTGCGCCATCTTATGCTGGCTCCGTATATACCAGTAGTCAATCATCTCAGATTTATGGACATCACGTTCCCGCGAATCGACCACACATCATGTACCACGCGAGAAGTTTTGAGAGTGGGCTCGGTACGTAATATGGGTCAAAACATGACAGTTTGAAAAGAGAGTGAGAGAGAGAGAGAGAGAGAGAGAGAGAGAGAAAAAGAAAGATAAAATTCGATTCACGCGAACCGAGTGGCGTGGTCTACGCTTCAACGTGGAATTGTGTTCGTATGAGAATGAGATGAAAGAAATGAAAGAGAGAAAATTAGTTGTGTGTTATTTGTTGAACGTAATTGACAAAAAAAAAGAAAAGAACATTTGCGTTCCAGTGTATATTTTCAAAGTTGCTTTTTTTATTGGATCAGTATATATGAGTATTTTTAATTCAGTATAAATAATAATTTTGTCAGTATTTTAAATAAGATTAGGGTTGCATAATGATACTAATATTTATAATTAAAAATACTGACAATATTTATTTAAAATAATATCTATGACAAAAAATGACTGATTCCATAAATAGCAGCTTAAAAAAGATGTTTATTACATGTTACATATTGTGTGTAATTGTAAGCGTATGCGATACGTTCGTGAACTGTGTCGATGATTCTTATAACCGATATAGATCTTTCGAAGGATCTTTTTTCTTTTGAACGACTTCATGTAAACGACCTTCGTTAAATTTCCAGACTCGGATAATAGAATCGAATCGCCGTACAACCATATATATGGAAGATTACCCATCCCGACGAGAGGCGTGATACCTCCTGCACCGCGTGCTATGTACATTGGAGAATGGGATTAAGTTTAAACAAGTATCTCAACGTTTGTACCTATAAACTTGTATATTGTTAATATACCACATAAATACTCATATTTTTATGCTATCGAAAAAAATTGATTATAATTTTTACTTAAACGTCTCACATCTTAGCGAGATATTTCATCCTTTTCCATTATCTAGTTCAATAATCTCGTTAGAATCCTATATACTCATACCTATGTGTATTTAAGTACGTAGATATGCATACGATTATTAGAAATTGCACTTAAGATAAACCGTGAGATCTAAGTTTATATACATTACTTACCAGATAGTGAGAAAGTCTTGTTACCTTTCAAATATTAAAAAAAAAAAAAGAAAGAAACAAAATATTTTCTTGAAATTCCTCACATTTACATGGTAATATTATAGATATGTATCAAACGGACGTAACTTTACTCACTAACTATAAAATCTCTAACAAATTAAATAATATTGTGTAACAATGAAGGAAAAGGAAGTAAGGAAATAAAACAAACAACATATCCAGTTATTTTACCGTCGATCGAGTCCTTCGCACGATTAGCTCTCAAACGATAATAATAATAATAATAATAATAATAATAATAATAATAATAATAATAATAATAATAATAATAATAGACATCCTTACGTCACCACTGCAAGCTTTTTGTTGCTGTCTGATAAGTCGGACTATTAGCGGAGTAAAACTGAGAATACCATTTTCGATAAGCGGCAATGGTTTTATCCTCTTTTACTAGGATCGGCCGTGTTTCGAATCTTTTGTGATTCCAAATAGCAACGTCCCTCTCGAACATAATACATTCACCAAGAAATACGATACTGGCGTACGGTGCCAATAATGGCGGAGAAAAAATGATGTGACAGATACGTTGCAACAATGGTTCGATCGGTGTCACCGTTTGTAATATGAACATATTCCCAAATGTTGTTTGAACCAGCAACTCTACGTATCCTGGACCGATTTGTTCGACCTTAACGTTTAATTCGAGTATATCGAATCGATCAAGAAGCAACAAACTGTGACGAAGTGTCATATTGGCTCTATGCTTTTCCCGATGATAAGAATTCTGTTGTCCGTTTGTTGTTGCCGTTGTCGATTTATTATTTAAAAAATTCTTCGATTCCCCGTTAATCGTCGTCTTGGCTGTTGTTGTTGTTGTTGATGATGATCTCTTTGTTAAATCATTTCCCTCCTCTTCGAATTTCGTCTCATCTTCCGGACTGTTTTTGTTCATCGACATTTCTTTCGATGATTCATCCTTGGACACGCTCGATTGTGGTGTCCATCTTGCGTTCGACCATGTGTGACGAACTAAACGCATCACGTCCTCCGAGAGAAATAACGCTGGTCCATGAACAGCGCTAAGGTGTGCCATGTCGGCACCGTTTTCCGCTATATCCTGGAATTGATCGTTTTATGGCGTTTCATTACTTTCTCTAATTGTTAAGAGAAACGAAATCGACAGCTTTCATCTCGTTTTCTCAATATTAATATATGTTAATCGTTGGGGGAATCACCGAAAAAATATTTTTATTTGAAAGATAATATTTTTTAATGTAATTCTTACGAACCTGTATATGACAATTGACGATAAATTCGTTCCGACCTTGAAACCGCCAATTCCCATTGGAAATTTGTTCATGGGATTGTGGTTGCCAATCCGGTGTCGCCGATTCTGCGTGATACCATACGAATATTATTTTATTAACTTCGCAGCACCTCCATGATTTTGTCTTAGCAACGTTCGGTACTGAAATAAAATAGAAAATTTGGATGAATTATTAATATTAAATATTTCAAAATACAAAATGATTTACCTCTCTCGGCATAAGGTATATCCAAACAACGACCATCGTCACCACAAAAAAGCCATTTATGGAAAGGACATTCCAAACATTCTCCTCTCACGCGTCCACCCTCACCCATGTTTGCCCCTAAATGTGGGCAATACGCATCGAGAATTTTGACGATACCCTTCTCGGTCCTTCGTATTTACACGACTTAACATTATTACTATTTCGTCATTATTTTTCAATTAGTTTTTTATTTATTATTTTATTATTTTATATTAATTAATTTCAGTATATTTCTATATAAGTTACTTATTCATATGATTCTATATAAAATTTTATTAGATCAATTCTATGCTTACCTAAACACGGCAAAATTTTCTCCAAGAGCTGATACGTGTTTCACTTCTCCCACTTTTAACTGTGAACTTTCGAGTAAAGCGAACCATCCGTTGGGATAGACTGGCGGCAATTTTTCCATCTTCCTGTATTTTATTTTGTTTTGACATCGAAAGTCCTTGTAACAACAATAGCAAGCAAAAGTTTTATTTTACATTTAGAAAAAAGTAAGAAATAATCCGTGAAATTAAACCTTAAAGTGTTTTTTTATTTACTCTTTCCGTGTAATTATTTATTTAATAATTATAAAAATTCGCGCCTGTAAGCATGCAACCTTTGAGACACCGTCGATAATGTTGCTTGCATACATGTGAATATATTCATACAAGTATGTATGACGTGTTGCATACTATTAAGGTAGACACAATTTCTTACTGATAGATGGCGTTCGCAAGCAACATTAACAACGATGTCTTGATAGTTGCATCTCTACAGGCGTAATGTTTTTATAAATAATGATAAAAATTTAACTTTAATTTTGTAATTAATTATGCATATTCTTAGAAGAATATTTATTATCTTACATGAAAAGTAAATTTGTAGAGATTGAGATTATTCAATGTTAGATATCTAATGATCGTCGTAAAAATAATAAAAGATCCGAAAATTGTGCATAATTTTATTGGAGAACGACCCATGACTTAATAACATGTATTTCTATGGATACGTGTTCTCATGATTTTCAATAATAATTAATAAATAATAGAAGAGTTAATTAATAATGAAGTTGTCTTCACCTAAACTATGTTAAAGACATTAGCCATATTTTTTAAAACAAGTTTGAAATAGATTACATAACATTAAAAACCATGTAAAATAATCACCAAAAGTAATTTTATTAAATAATCATAAATTCGTAAATATTTCAATCCTAAAACGTATAATTAAAATCAATAAAAAAACATCGAAAAAAAAATTGTCTACGATCATAACTACAAACTAGAAAATTAAAAAAAAAAGAATATTAACTTACTCTGACCCAGTTGATTTTCCAGAAGAAAGCGACATAGATTAGGAAAGCCAAGAGGGTGGCAAGTAGGACGCTGTACCATCCAAAAATCATCTTCTTTTTTCGATCTCCGTATCTCAAAGTGAAAAAAAATAAATCTATATAATTCACTATATCTTCCAGAAAAGAAAAACACAGGATTTTCACGTTGAAAATAAACCTCCCTCCCTCTCTTTCTCTCTCTCTCTCTCTTTCTCTCTCTTTCTTTCTTTCTTTTTTTCTTTCTTTCTCTTTCGAAGGGGATAATTAATATTCTCTAATACTTCTGGTATCTGGACGAGGACGAAGAGTATGATCGAGGAACTACCGGCGAACGTCTAAAGTAGAGGCGTTCTAACAGCCTGCTCATGAGCAAGAGCTGACTCCCGATTCCCCTATACGTTTACCCCCACTATGACTCTGACTTGATCGTCAATTCAGTCGGCAATTCGGTGTACAGAACCGCGAATAAACTTATGAAATACGAGATTAAAAGAAGAGAGTTCAACGTTCTTAAAAATATTTAATAATAATTACGTAGCACTTTATCGAATTCTCATTTGAATCTCGTTTTTTTTTTTTTTTTCTTCTTCTTCAAGTTTGCCTGTTACAGAAAAATAAAAAAACAATTATAATTTGACGAGGAGAAGGGGAGGGTGGTAAAGGAAAGAGCTGCTAAAGGAAAAAGTATCGATTTTGTATTTAGATGGAACAAGAAAGAAAGAAAGAAAGAGAGAGTGCATTTGATGTAAAAAAGAAGAACACTGGAAGAAAAAGAAAAAGAAAGAGAGAGAGTATTGCGATGATATAAACGAGGTAGTGAAACGAGAGTTAAAAGAAGAAGAAGAAGATGAAGAAGAAGAAGAGCAGAAAGAGAGCTTGAAGGATAAAGAGAAGCAAGAGAAGGAGGAGGAGGAGTAGGCCGACGTGCAAAACAACTTGAAGGATATCAGGCGCGAGAGAATAAAACAGAGAGAGAGAGAGAGAGAGAAATAGTAAGAGAGACAGTAAAAAGGAGTAAGAGAGGAAAAAGAGGAAGGAAGATAAGTTGTTTCGAGGGACGAAGAGGATAAAGAGGTGAGGAGGAAGGTGCACGCGTGCGTGCGTGCGTGCGTCCTTGCGACGGAGACGAGAGATAAAAAGGGTGAAAAGGAGACGCTGACGACGTACGCGTAACAGAAAGAGAAGAAAAGAGAAAGAAAGTTGAGTGAAGAAGATCGAAGGTAGGAGTGAGAAGAAGAGGAAGAAGAAGAAGAAGAAGAAAAGGAGGAGGAGGAGGTGGATTCTGTTGCACTCGCGCGTTTGCCCAGTTACGTTGGCTATCCACTTGGAGAACGTCTTCTCCTCCGTCTTCTACGTACCGAGATGGAAGTAAGTGGTGGATGGAAGAGGAACAGGGAGAACCGAAGAAAAAGTACCAAAACAAGGAGAGATGGAAAAAGAGGAAGAGGGAAGGATAAAGAGAGAGAGAGAGAGAGAGAGAGATGGATGAATGATAAACAAGAAGAGAAGTAGAACGAGATAGAAGAAAAGAGGAGACCGAGAAAGGAGGAAGAAGGTGCATGGAAAAAGAGGTCTACGGTTTAAGGGTTTTCGGCCGACTGAAACGCACGGGAGGTCCATCGTCAACTTTCTATATATATATATATATGTACCTATACACATACATATTTGTGCGTATTTGTATGCCTATGGTATACACGGCATGTCCTCGACTCGGTGAGGACCCATCGTCAGAGGTATCACCACCGTGTTTTCAGTACACTATCTCCAAAACGAATCTATCTAAACTTACCTACGTTTTTCTATCGGTCTTCTTTGCGTTGATATTCATCCAATTATGTATGCCTGTTTATAGAATGATAGAGAGAGAGAGAAAGAGAGAAAATGTATATCAACGTCTCTTCTTCAATCTAAAAAACCAATCTTCATAGTTTTCATTTTTTTCTCATTTTTTTTTTTTTCGTCGGTGTATTTTTTCTTTTTTTCTCTCTCTCTCTCTCATTTCCTCTCTTTTTATTTATTTCTTTCTTTATTTTTTATATTCTTCAATTTCCTTCTTACTTCCCTTTTATTATTATCATACGTATCGTATATCGATACATTCAGAGTAAGTTAAATATATGCGAGTCCTCCCCGCAAGTTTATACGACTACGTCTATTCGTTCACTTAGCATATCAAACTCACCATTTGTTATTTCAACAAGTTCACCTTTCGTCATCGAATTTGTTTAAGTTTAAATACGTTACGTAGTACGATCTTGTCCTGGATTTCTGATCCACCGTATGATGTTCAGTTTACTTGGAAGATTAATATAGGTAAGAAGGATAAGATAAAAATGTAAGTGTTCATTATTTTTGAACGTTTCAAATTTTGACACAAGTGCATTTAAGATGGCCGACGTAGATATTTATCACCATCAAAATTGTATTAATAGTATTTGTTTTATTATATTTTATTTTATTTTATTTTATTTTTTTTATTCTTTTTTTTTTTTCAAGAGATCAGAAATTACAACCTGTCTCTCGTTAATGGGAAAATGTCATTCTCATCAATTACGTGGCCTTGTTTATGAATTTTGTATCGTCAAATAATCACCATTAGCCACCATGATAATCGAAACTGTCGCACCAGCGGGTTTCCTTCGAAAGGCTATCGTTGAAAAATCTTATTTAAAAATATTCATGGGACTGTCCGTCGAAAATATGCGATCCTGGGTGAGATAACTTTGACTAACGCGCCGAATGAAATACATGCGGCGTAAGGGATGGAAATAAAATTAGAGAACCGAACTGCCTTCATCCTTCTCCTCGTCGTCGTCGTCGTCGTAACTTTGTGCGTGTGTGTATGTGAGTGTGTGGAGATCCGAAAAAATTTGTTTAACGCTCACATTTATTTGATCAAAATTCGTATCATGAGATAGAATGACTGCGTGAAAAAAAGAAAAATACGGAAGAAGAAAGATCACACGTAGAAGAAGTTACTTTTAAGTTCACAAAGTTATTATTTTGTTAAATAATTATAATAATTAATTTATCTGAATTAATTATTTCACTATAAATAGTAATTTGTCGGTATATGTAATTAGGGTTGTTTTCTAATTTTTATATTTTTAATATATAATCTATTTAATAATATTTTTGGAACAATTTTCCAACTTTATTTTAAATATTCAATCTATTTAAAGAAATGTTTTTATATTTTTCATTTTAATTTTACTCAATCATATTGAAATTTAATGATCACAAACGTTTCCTTTTTCAATTGGATACATATAAAAATATCGAAACGCATCGATAATAATAATAATAATTTATCGTTGACAATACGAAAAAATAGCTTTATATAAAAAAATACCAAGAGAAAATAAATTTTGTTGTTATGCCTATTCGTTTCTCTTACACGTGTTATAATACTTAAGTTGAAAAACGTCAGTGATTTTTTTCGTTGGACATAACACGTTACGTACACTCATGCGTAATAGCTTTTCTGAAAATGCTACCCTCTGCATAAAACTTTGGGACTAAGCACACGACTCGAAATACTCTCTTTCCCTTTTCATTTTTATTCTTACAACGTTACCATTACGCGATACTTCGATTCAAATTTATTTCCTTAGAATTAAATCTAAAACATTATTAGAACAAAATTTAACTCCATCGTTAAACAAACATTCGTGCATCTTCATTAATTATGTGGAAATTAATTTTTCGTTGAACCTCGGTCATTCGGAAAAAAAAAAAACCAAATATTTCTCAAATGATGATAATCGATGACGATGCGTACTAAAATATAATATTTCAATTCTTGCTTTTACCTTTTTTCCTTTTTCAACACGACAGACAAATTAGTGCGCGTCTTGCAAGTAATCGAGAGTGTATTAATGAAAAGAAATATTTCGATGGATTAGTATTAACTAAGTTGTTATACGATTTTGAAGTATCGAATGTTAGACAATCTGATAAAAGGAAAGCAAGATTGAATCGAATTTAACGGTTTACGTTTGATCGTCCTATCGAGATCAACTTTCAATATTGCAAGTCAAATGCATCTTTCCTCTTTGACAGTCAATCGATGTCCAATCATTTTATCCGATCTCCTTGTCTTCGTGATCATTTGCATGAGAAATTTTTCTTTCTTAACTCAAGATGATCTCTTTTGCGTTTCGACAATTCTTGACAAACAAGTTGAAAATACGTTTCTGGATACTCGAACATACAAACAAAATACACTATAAGAATGTTAATTTTTCTATAAGTTTATTTTATTTTTTCTTTATTGTGTTAAATATTTTTCTCATTAGCGGTTTGAAATATTCCAC